TGTGGAGATGAGGCTGGGACAGTCAGCAGGGGCCACTCCCACCCGGGGACCTCCATCCAGCAAGTCTCTTTGGGTGGCCACAGGGCCGAGTCATACCCAGAGGACAGCCCAGGCACTGAGCTAGTGCCCTGGAAGGATGGAGTTCTCCAGGAGAATGGCTAATATGGCTAATAATAATAATACTAATAATAATAATAGCAAATGCTTCTCTAGTGCTTCCTCTACTCTGTGGCTCACAGCAGCCTTATAAGGAGGGATGTTATCTCTCATTTTGCAGAGGAGGAAAAAGACTCCTACCAACTCTCCAGCTGGGGGGGAAGCAACCCAGGAAGGCATCTGGCAGCTTTCCTCAGCCTTACCTAGCTCCCTCCACTGTGCCTCGATCTGACCTACCCTTTGGCCGTGGACAGACCCACCCTGAGATGCCCCCCCCCCCACTACCCCAGTGCGGCATCTGGAGCCCTGGACTGATGGAAGGCCTGGGTTCTGGCCCCCAATCTGCTTCTGCTTTGCTGGATGACCTTGCGGTGGTGGTTTAGGCTCTCTGAGCCTTGGTTTATCCTTCTGGGAATTGGGGATCCTAGCGACTGCCTTATCTCCCACTCCAGTTCCGGTGAGACTCCCAGGAGTGAGCAGATAAAGAGCACTTTTGAAAAGTACAAAGAGCTGTACTCAAGACAGTGAGATTATTATTGTTACCTCGATGTGGAGATAAGGGATGGGAGGAGGAGCCTTGACGGTTGCCAAGAAACCCGGGAGCTGTCAGCAGCGGCTTCCGGCCGGACCCATCCCACTCAGGAGCTGGGCCACGGGGCCCCTCCTCCACCCTCCACTCCCTCCCTACCCCCCGCCGCTGTGCCCTTCCTCTGGGAGAGATGGGTGCTCCAACACAGTGGGGAGCTGGGGCCAGCTGGCTGGCGGCCACACACCTCTAGGCCCTGAAGGTGACCCTGGAATGTGCCTGGTCCAGACGCCAGCTTGGCTCAGGCTTTCTGTGTGACCTTGGGCAAGTCACCTCCTCTCTGGCTGCCACCTTTTCCTGTGCCCAGGTGTCCTGTACCTGGAGGCGGGTGTCCAGGCCAAACAGGGCAGGACTGGATCTAGGCCTAAGAAAGATGCTTGGTGGTGGCTGCCAGGCCCAGGGAGGGCTGGGAAGTCATTGGGAGCCAAGGCTGGATGACTGGACTGAGGTCCTGGGTTGAGAGCAGCTATGATGTGTGTAGTGGAAGAACCTTGGGCTGGAGTAAAACCTCTGTTCTGCCCTTTCCCTGGTGTGACCATGGACTTGTCACTTAACCTCTCTGAGGCTTGGTTTTCTTATCTGGAGAAAAGGTGGATAATATCCCATCTCACCAAGTTGCCATGGTGCTCAGATGAGATGATAGACTGTAGAGTGTTGTGCAGATATGACTTTGGTCATGGCATGGGGAGGGGAAAACAGGGGAGAGCTCCCCATGTCCCAGAACACTCCAGGCACCTCCCAACTGCTACACGTAGGGAGAATGCAAAGCATTTGAAGCTGAGCTAGGCCAGAGGGTCAGGGAGATTTGTAGAGAGGTGCTGAGGGTCAGACCTCATGTGAATGGAATGGTGAAGACCAGGAGGAGACAAGGGTAGGCTAGAGATGGGGGAGGGATGGAGAAGTTCAAGTTCAGAAGAGGGAGGGAAATGGCCAAGTTGGGGGGGTGGTCTGTAGAGGCAAGAGGTAGAAAGGAAATGGAGGGGGGTAGAAAGATGGGGGTGAGATGGGTATGAGGTGAGAGGGAGGCTGACAGGGGAGGGAAAGCAAGGGGACATGGCAGGGGAGTGGGTGGGGAAGAGGCAGGCTGAGTTTATTCATCCTTGCCAAATTATTTATTGAGGAACTAGTGTCTACTCCGAGTCAGTAGAGTGTAGCGTTGGGGCACCTAGACTCAGATCCTTGCGTTTCACTTACTGTCGGTGTGATTTTGGACAAGTTGCTTAACCAGTCCGTGTCTCAGTGCCCTCCTTTGAAAGAGTGAGTCCAAGCAAAGCAGTTAGAGCAGAGCCTGCCAGGGGCACCCTCGCCCAGTATCAGCTTTAGCTGTCCTTGCTGTTACTGTTACCACTGCCTCCCTGATGCGAGCGTCTGGGTCTGCCCGGGCTGTGAAGCTCAAATCTTGGGCTCTGGAGGGACACACCTGGATCCCAACACCTGCTCTCCCTCCTTCACTGTGTGACCCTGGGCAGGTTAACACACCTTGCTGCACATCAGCGTCCCCGTGTGTGAAGCAGGCAGCTTTCCAGCGCCTGCCTCCCTGGGTTGCTATGTTAATTAAGTGGAATCCGACAAGGCACAGGTGGGCTGTAGCTTTCGTGATTACTGTCCTTCTGCTCCCTCAGGGCTGGGAGGGATTGGGGGCAGGAAGGGCCCAGAGCCTCCTGCTCTGTTCCCGTGGTGGAGCCCCTCAGGTCTCCTTGCCCTTTAGGACCTCAGCAATGACCTTGTAGGTGGAGGAGTTAGTTACCTGGAAGGGGGAGGGAGCTGGGTACTGACTGGGAGGGGCCCACTCTAGCTAGCCAGGAACTAGAGAGTTGAGGGCCTTGGGGCAGGGTCCCCCGTGGAAGTCAGATTCCTCCCACCTTTGTCTTGAGACACCTCCCCAGCATGAGCAGTCTGGCGTGGGATGGGTACCTGGACATGGGGAAGCTCAGACAGAGGGTTCTGGAAGGGCAGGATGTTAGGGACCTGCAGTGGGACACCGTCTGAGCCTGGGGGCCTGGGAGGGGCAGACAGAAGAACACCACCCGAATAGCTCAATGATGGGCAACAACCTCCACTGGGCATCCAGGGCCACACCAAGACCACTGTCCCCATGTCCCCAACACTATGGGGACCCAGCTTCCCCTGGGGCTGCAGCCCCGGCACTTCCTGGACCCTGGGCAGCCTCTGTTCTCCATGCCCCTGGCACTGACCTTTCTCAGTCAAGGGCATGGGCTTTATACTCGGGTTCTGTCTCCCACCTGCTAGGGGAAGTGGCTTCATCTCTCTGAGCTCCAGGGTCTCCATCTCTAAAAATGGGGATAAATAACGCCAGTGTCGCAGCACCATGGGCAGGGTGTAAAAATGCTTGACCCAGCTCCAGGCCCATGACCCAGGGCTCGACAAAGAGTCTTCCGTGGAATTTGCCTGGGCCATTTCTTTTCTTTCTTTTTTTTTTTTTTTTAAAGATTTTATTTATTTATTTGACAGAGATCGATCACAAGTAGATGGAGAGGCAGGCAGAGAGAGAGAGAGAGAGAGAGGGAAGCAGGCTCCCCGCTGAGCAGAGAGCCCGATGCGGGACTCGATCCCAGGACCCTGAGATCATGACCTGAGCCAAAGGCAGCAGCTCAACACACTGAGCCACCCAGGCGCCCTGCCTGGGCCATTTCTGTGGGCCTCCCCCTACTCCTCTGGGTCCCATCTCTCTCCGGGTCAGCACGCCTTGCAACCTACAGGGACCGAAGTTCAGGCTGTTTGCTTGCTCCACAAACCCCCAGTGCCTCCCTGCTGCCAACCTCCATCCATTCAAGGATTCATTCAATTATTTATCCGCTCGACCAATACTGAATGAGACCCTAAGTCGGGGACCCAGAGCTTACCATGAATGAATGAATACCGAAGAGTTCATTGAGTAAACACTTACTAGCTGCCCAGGCTCTATGAGATTTTTTGGAAGCAGAGGCTGGGAGGGGTGTGTCACTGACTCCAGGTCACACAACAGGTAAGTGCCTGGGAACACCTTCCTCACACTGATGCCACGGCTTGCAATGCCACTGCCACTGCCACTGCCACCATCTCTGGTTTTCTGGATCAAGCACTGCTTAGCGTGGGCCCTTCTTTAAAGAAGCCAGCAGCCCTGAGAGGCCGAGAGGCATCTGATGTGTGCGGCGGGGCTGTGGACAGCTCCTCCGGACCGGTTCTCCCACAGGAGAGGCCGGGCTGAGGGGAGTCAGCGGGGGCAGGGGGGAGGTGGCTCAGAGGGTCCTGGGGTCTCCTTCCCCAGCCAGCTTCCTGCAGGCCCTCCCCCTTTCAGGGTGTGGCAGTTCCAATTCTGCCTGACTCAAGCTCCCCGATCCTCAGCGGCCTGAATGACTCACTCTCTCAGGACCAGCCTCGGTGGATGGGACCCAGGCCGGGGTGCAGCCACGTCAGGGTGGCCCCAGGCAGCACAGGGAAGCCAGGCCTGCTTGCCCTGCCTTGGGCTCCCCGGGTCCCAGGAGCCACTGGGCACTTCCTCTCCCTGACCCCTGAGGTGGCCTCCCCAGCAGGCTTTCTAGGGTGACGGGAGCTGACTTCACCCTCACCAGACCTGCTTCCTTTCCTCAGGGAGAGGTGTGGGTGTGCTCAAGGAGGCTGAACTCGGAGTCAGGCCTCATGCAGCTGCTGGCTCTGCCCCTGACCAGCTGTGTGACCTCGGCATGCCTCTGGGTCCCATCTATTAAGAGGGAATGCCAGTGTGGTGAGGAGTCTGTGCCCTTAGGCCTGGAAAGAGGGGCTTGACACAGGGCCTGGCACACAGTAGGCCCAGTGGGTGTCTACGGTTGTTATTGTCATTGAGAACAGCAATAGCCCAAATGTTCTCTCCATCCTAAGGCTGTGTCTCCTCGAAGGCCCAGGGAGGGGTCTATAAGGGTTGAACACCCTGCTTAGGATAGAGGTCAGAGCCCTGTACAACAGCCCTCACTGCCCCTGCCTCAGTCTACCCATCTCCAGAATGGGCTGTGGATGTTCTCTTGGCTGGAGTATGTGTGTGGGGGGGAGGGGCTAACATAGAACTTGGGGAGAGACCCTGTCCACATCCCTGATCTCTGGGGAAGGAGAGCCTGTTTGGTCACCCTGCTCCAGAAGCCTGTCCTCTCCCTCTTCCTGGGGAAACCAGGACCCCCCTCCTTGTGAAATCTTCCCCCAACTCTGAGAGCAACTCTTCCTCCCAAAGTCCACCCATCTCCCAGCTTGGGGCTCTCCCTGACCACAGACTCTTTCTGTCTTCCAGGAGGAGTGATGGGCAGAACCAGCGCTTCCCTCAGGCATTAGACCTGCCACGCGCGGACTTGGTTCCCCCCCATCCTGCTTCACTCTACCCTAAGGTGAGTGTCCCCTCCCCACTGCCCCTGCTCTGGAGAGCCCTGGGGCCCAGAGCTCATTAAAAAGGACCACTGGACAGGGGTAAAATGTTCAAGCAGGTGCTGCTTAAGGTTTAGCTCCACAAGGGGGACACCAGTCCTCACCCCTGGGTGGGTCGAGTGGCTCTGCTGGGGAGGGGGCAGAGCAGCTGGGAATAGACCAGCTGACCACCTTCATTATCAACATCACCATCGGCCTCCTCATCCACAGACTGGGTATGATGACAGCACCTGGCATGGAGCTGTCGTGAGGATTAAAGGAAAGAGTACCAATGAAACAGTCCATGCACGATATCCGGCATGGGGCAGGAGTTCTACAAATGAGATCATCAGAATCAAACGTTTGTCCGGCACTTGATTCGTGCCAGATTTTGTGCTGGGCGCTGCGGGGCCAGAAATCAGTCTGACACAGACCCTGCCCTCACGGAGCCAGAGTCCTGATGAGAGATGAGTAACTAAACAACCTAGCAGAACACCGGCAGCAACCACTAGAATTTACTGAGACTTACTGTGTGCCAGCTGGGTACTTAACGCTTTGCAGGCACTATTCCATTCCATCCTCCAACTTTAAGTACTATGTGATAGCTACTGTTATTAGTCCCATTTCGCAGATGAGAAAATCAAGGCTCGGAGACGTTAAGCTCCCTGCTTAAAGACACACAGGTTAGGATATGATGGGGTGTGACCCCATATCATAGGATACCATGCTGTGTGACCAGAGGACCTGGTACAGGTCATCAGCCTCACTTCTGTAGTACACTTTTTGGTTTCTAAAGCATGTCCACAGACATTATGCCTCTTGGTCATTTCATCACACCTTGGGGTAGGCATTCTCCAGATGAGGAACCAGATGCTCAGAGAGGTTTTCCCACGGTCACACAGTCAGGAAATAGCAGACACAGGGCCGGCCAAGGGCAGTGTACCTCTCCTGCTCCAGGAAGGCAGATGGCCAAGGACCTTAATCCTTGGGGGGGACCACCACCTCCAATGAGGTCCCAAGTGGGTGTCCTAGGGCAGCGTGAGGGACTCCTGAGACCCTCGCCTGCTCCCTGTGTCTGGGCAAAAGCCCAAGATGGGGCCGTGTGGATCCTGGGGTTTGGCAGGAAGGGAGCAACTTGAAGGAACCTGGGTTCATGAAGCCCCCAGTCCCTCTTCCCCTAAGCATACAGGAGAAGGTCTTGGTTCTCACCAAGGGCTAGGTGCCCTTGGACCATAGCTTCCCCTCCCTGGGCCTCAGTCTTCATCTCAGGAAAATGAGGGTAGGAAAAACCCATCACTCAGTCCCGCCTGCTCAGACAGCCTAGGGTTGTTTTTTGCGGATTAGCTCTGAGCCACCTCCTCTTGGGCTTCCCGGCCTCTGCCCAGTCAGACAGAAGCCTCCGTTTGTACCAACGCTGCTCAGACAGTGGGCTCCAAACCGCTCTGCCCTGACAGCTCACCCCTACTCCAGAAGCAAGCCCCAGGCTGTGGATCACCCTCCTTTGATTGGGAGGGAAACCAGAGTACAGAGAGACTAAGCGATCCCCCTGGATGTCCAGTAAACCCATGGTGGGGCTGAGGGGACTCAGGCCTATGACACATTCTTCATGCTCCTCCTCTAGCACCCCTAAGTCTGGGCACATTTATCACGTGGATGCAGCCAATCTGAGGGACAAGTCACCTCCCTGTGCCAGTGGGCAAGTCCCTGCTCCCCTCTGGGTCTCAGTTTCCTCATCTGTAAGACAGAAGTGACAATTCTTTCTCTAGCCACCTTGCCAGCTTCCAGCTGGGACTAACTTTGGAACTAACTTTGGAAAGCAGAAACCAGGAAGCTCGGCAATGTTACGTTCCCAGGGCAGGATGGAACTCACAGAAGGGACATTGCCCTCTCACTGGAAAAACCACATTTGTACAGACACTGAGCTCTTTAGGGCCCTCCCACCCTGCCCCCCCCTCCAATAGGGATTTCTCCACTCAGGAATTCAGGAATCTACACACGTGTACATCACAATCTACCCACGCCTCTGTCCATGGACACGTTCACACATCTGCAAAGGTATTCAGAGACGTGCATGTGTACACAGGCCTGTGTATACAGACACCCATGTACAGACACGAATACAGACATCCAGGATGTCCACGCACACCCAGCCACATCTGGTCCCAGAGTCACACACATACAGCTGCTTGCACATGGGTGTACACCCTCCACTCTGCCTGTCACGCGGACGTCTCCAGTGATGCGAGAAGGTCTCACCTCCTCCCACTGTGGGAATGGATGTTTTCTCTGGCTGCATTTCGATGGGTGCCCGGAAGCGCTCAGGCCTGGAAGCGCCTGCGTAAATCAATATTTGCTGCTGTTAATTATTAAAAACAAAACTACACCGTGTCTGGAACACACATCTCCAGAGTTCCCGCCGACTCTCCGGGCTCCGACCTGACCCAGGGCCAGGTCTGGAGGAAAGGAAGTTCTGGTGCCTTCCTTCCAGAAGCCCTTAGCCATGGAGACGAGGGTGGTGGGCAGTGGCTGGCGGCTCCTCCAGGGAACTGAAGAGAGGCTGTGCCCTGAGCTGGTGGGCAGCCTTGCCCCTGCAGGCTCCAAAGCAGCTGGTGTTGACTTGGCCGCAGCTCAGGAAGCAAGTGCTGCTTTCCCAGTACCTGTCCGGGGAAGGGGTTCTGAGGGGATGGCCCTGTCCCTGCTGTAGAGGGACAGACCCAAAGCAGGGTCAGCTGGAAGGGCCTGCAGAGGTGGGAAAACTGAGGGCCTTATAGTTTACAGATGCGAAAACGGAAGCCTACGGAGGTGGCTGGGACTCACTCAAGTCCACTCAGCAAGTTGTAGCAAGGCCCGTGCTAGAACCCTCATGTTCTGAAGTCCTTGGCAGTCCCTGTTGCCTCCCTCCTCCAGGATCAGGGCAGTTAGCATCGGGTGTGGGCATAGGATCTGAGGAAGGGAGGGGGAACAGGCCAGTCACTGGCAGGCATTAGGAGGTGGGGGGAAATGAGGGAGGGGAGAGCAGCTCCAGGCCTTTCCCTGGAGAACAGGGAACAGTTTCTGTCTTTTCCTGGCTGTGTGAACCTGAGCATGATATTTCACCTCTTAAATCAGTTTTCTATTCCGTAAAATGGGGCTCGTACGTCCTGGATTGTGGGGAGAGGTCATCCTTGCTAAGTACAATGTCAAGTAGATGCTCAAGGAAAGCCCTCTGTCTGCGAGGTAACCCTCTCCTCTTCCAGCCCAGCTTCACAGCCTGTCCCAAGAATCCCTGAGGCGGGGTAGCCAGAGTCCGGGAAGATAGAGAAGGCGAGGTAGGGGCGCGCCAAGTACAGCCTGGGGGCTCCGGGGCGGGGCGGGGGGTGCTCTAAGCGCCGAAAGCGTAGAGCACGCAGGCGCAGTGCCCGGGGACCGCGGGCCGGGGCGGGCCGCGCCGCGCCGGGGGCGTGGCCACCGATGTCCCCGCCCCGGAATTCCTAAGCCACGCCCCCGCGCCGCCCGTACCTGGCGCCCCGCCCCCTCCGGGCCCGGCTGCCCCGAGAGCCCAGCTCAGGCAGTGTGCCGCCGGGAGCCCGGAGCCCAGAGCGCGGAGCTCGGCGCTGCGGGGCCCGGGCCGGGGCACGCACGGGCGGGAGCCGGCCGGGCCAGCTGAAGCGCAGCCGGGGCGGGGGCCCGGCCGGGCCAGGCTCGGGATGGCGCAGCCGCGGCCCCTGGCGCCCCCCGGCCGTCCGCGGAGGGGCTCGCTGCCGGCTGGGGCCGGCTGGCAGGTGAGGACCGGGGTGAGGGCGGCCTGGCCGAGGGGGTCCGCTGGAGCCGGCTCAGCCCGACTTCCTCGAAGCTGGGGAGACTCTGCCCCAGCCAGGGCGGTGTGCGAGGCTCCGTCATGGAGGGTGTGTTAGCTTCTGGGCTGACACCCGGGCACGGCGGCCACAGGGCGCAGCCCTGCCCCGGGGTCCTGGGCCTTGGGCTCTTTCTCGAGCCACCCCCGGACCGGAGTGCCCGTGGTGGCACGGTGGCTCTGGGCTACCGCGGCTCTGTGTGTGCGTGCGTGAGTCGGCGTGTCTGTCAGCCTCGGGACCACTTTGCCCTGCCCCCTTTAGGAGGGGTCTGAATGTCCCAGTGTAACTTTGCGGGGTGCTCTGAGCCTCTTCGCTCAAGGTCTGCCATATGGCTGGCGTCTGCTGGCCCGTGAGGCTGTAACTGTGGGTGTCACTTGTTGCTGTGTGTGCTCCCTGGATGACAGTCCCATGTGTCAGTGTTTATGTGGCTGTGACTCCGCGTGCATTGTTTCTGGCCATTGTTCCCTTGGGTCACCCTGAGTGGGGCGCTCTGGGGGCCAGTAATGCACCCACATCACTGCCAGGACCGTGCGGGGCCGAGATTGCGTGGCCCGAGCACAGATGCCCCTGTTGCTGTTGGGCAGGATGTTAACTGGTGTGTTTGTCTACCTGAACTGCAGGTGTGGCAGTGTGGCTGCCTGGGGAATTGTCCCTTCCAGGCTCAGAGTGTTGGGTGTGGCTGTAGGTGACCGTGGGTCGGTGTCTCCCATGGTCTCTCGTAGTGCATTTACAGGGTGGGTTCTGCATCTGGGGACAGGCCCCCCGAGTGTGCACATGGAGTGTTTGCGTCTCGTCATCCTCACGCAGTGTGTGCACGTGTGATGGGTGGTGTGTGCCCCAGCGGGCATGAGGGGGAGTGTGTGAGTGTCAGCCCTTCAGACCTGTGCCCCCACCCTTGCTGATGAACCACTTGCACAGTGGCTGTTCACTGTTCTTCCCCTCAAAACTCACTTAATGTGGGATCAAGTCTGTCCTATTACCAGGGTGCGTGACTCTGTTAGGGAACGGTGAGCTTGTACGCAGGACTGGGGCTCTGTGGCTCAGTGTCCGTGAACACAGCTGCCGATGTCCGCGAGTGCATGCTATTGTGTCTCTCGGCACACAGATGTGAGAGTGGTTTTGTGGGTTTGTGTAGCTTCGTGTTCCATTACTGATGTGCGCCTCTACACAGGGGTGGGTTGGCATCTGTGTGTTCAGCCTTGCAGGACGTGGACCTGTGTGTGAGTGGGTGTGCTGTTGTGTCCTTTAGGACATTGCCATGTGTTACTTGTGTGTTAGCCTATGGCTCTGAGGCTCCGAATGGGTGTGCACAGACCCTCTGGGTTTGGGGGGGGGGGTGCTGATTTATGAGTGTTTACTTTCTTTGGTATAGTGAGAGTGTGTTTAAATATTGGTGTACAAGGCTGTGTGTGTTCAAGCAAGAGAGAGAGAGAGAATGTGTTTCCTGGTGCACAAGCCTACAGCACACGCGTGTGAGCTCAGGCGGTGCCCCCACCGGGCAGCAGGAGCCAAATGAGTTGAGGCCTTGGAAGTGCTGGGGGAGGGGCACTATCATGGAGACCCTGGGGGCTTCCCAGGCCCAGCCCCCAGCCCAGCCAACGGGCAAGGATGCCGCCTTCCGGGAAGGCTCGTAGGGAGTTGGCGCTGGAGAGCCCAGAGCTGCCAAGCACGGCTGGCAGAGGCCCCGATTAACCCTGTGTGGCCCTGGCTGGTCTTCCGAGAAGCCGGCTGCAGTGGGAAGGGCGAGGGGATGCGTGTGGACTCATACACAGCTGTTGAGCTGATGGGACATCCCAGCACTGTCTCCCCCAACAGCACCCCCCTCCCCGCATAATGCTTGCGGGGGGTGGGGGTGGGGCCTTCTTCCAGGAGGGGTGGGTGGAACCACAGACCCTCCTGAGAATCCCACTGTGTCCTCTCTGGGGTGGGACCTGGGATACTTGGCCCATCCTGGCACTGCCAAACATGCAGTGACATGGGAGAGACCTGTCTGTCCCCGAGGGTCACATCCATCCGTGTCTGAGGCAGCAGCCTCCTTACTCTGGGAAGGGGACTGAGTGGGGTGGACTGCCTGGGAAGGGGCCTGGGCCCTGTGCTGACTTCACGAAGCAGTTGGTCGAGCTCTGCTGGTCATCTGCCCAGAGCTCCCTTCTGCACTGCCCTTTCCACTCCCTCTTGGTGCTCAGACAGGCCAACAGGGGTTGGTTAGAGTTGTGGAGACTCCTTGGGGACTTAGTGGGGTCAGCTGGGCCGACACTGAGGACTGACCTGCCCTCCTCCCTCTCTGTTGCAGAACACAGAGCTGTTTGAGATGATTGAGAAGATGCAGGTGAGGTTGGCTCTGTTGCCCATTTGGGGGAGCCACAGAAGGAGCTGGGCTGGGGTGGAGGCCCTTGCTATATGTCCAGCCCTATTCCTCTCTGAGGATGGGCCAGGAGCCCCCAGCAGACTGTTCTGCAAGGTGGTGGTACGAGGGCATTGTCCTGAGCCCTCTCTCTGGGGGTCTGAGTAGAGGATGGAGGCTGGGAGTGCTAATTCCCTGTTTGACACATGGGCCCAGACCCCACTTGTGTCTCCCCTGCTCCCATCCCCGTGTAGGTCCCCAGCAGGGCTGGGATCAGTGGCTCATCCCAACTACCCCCCCCACCCCCATATACACCCCAATCCCCGACACACATTCACACACATTTCCCATCTGCTAAGAGGCATCCCAGGCTCCGCAGACCCCTGTGTAGGATGGCAGGAGGGACAGGTGCCAGGGCACAGGGCAACCCAAGGCTGTGCCACAGACAGGGGGATGTGCCCCACCCCCTCTGCCTGACCCCTGTCCGCCTTGCACTCCCAGCCCTGGTCTTCCAGGCCTCTGTCCAGTGCATGGGTATGTGCTGGGAGGTGGGTAGGGGCGTGGGGCAACTTGAACAAAGCTCAGGAGCTTTCCCTCCAATGTCAGTTCGCCCGCCCTCCAAACCCTCTCCTCTGCCCCTTCCTGTTTCTCTGCCTCTCTCACTTTTTCCGTCTCCACCTGTCCCCTCCTTTCTCTCTTTCCCTCTGTCCCTTTCCTCTCTCTCCTAAAACACACATCTTTGTAGATGCAGTGGCCTCCCTCCCACACTCACACACTAGCACGTGCAGGCCCCCACCTACTCCCAGTCCCAGCGGCACACATTCCCGCACAGAGCCCCCAGCACCCTGCCCCGGGAGTACCCCCCCCATGGCCAGGCTTTCCCCTTTATAGGGTGTCAGCCTCCAGTGGGGTGCAGCACTGGCCACAGGCATGGGAGGGGTAGAATGGGCTTTGTTACCTTCTCTCTGCAGGGAAGCAGGATGGATGAACAGCGATGCTCCTTCCCACCACCCCTCAAAGTAGGTTGGAACCATGGCCCCACCCCAATTTTCTGTGGCTTTCTGCCCACGCTGTCTGCTTCCTGAGCAGCCTCTCCAAAGGGCTTGGGACCTGGAAGGGATGGGGAGACTCCCTCCCCAGGTGTGATCAGCCAGTTGCAGGAAAACTCAAACCCAGGACCCAGGTGGCTTCTGCCTGGGAAGGCTGATGGGAAGGGAGGAGAGGACAGGAGGAGATGGGAGGGGTAACCTGGTTGCCCCCCTACCCCCCCCTTCCTCCCCAGCCTACTGTGAGGAGACAGACAGGAGGCAGGGGCTGGAAGGAGATGGGAGAGGGCTCTTGTTTAGATTCAGAATTTTCTTGTGGGGGAGGAGGGCGGGGGGGTGTCGCACCTCCCCTGCAGATAGGCATATGGTTCTGTGGTTGATTTGGACCTCAACAATCCAGAAGACTGGCAGCTGGGCCTGGGGGGTGGGGGCGAGGTGGGCCCAGGGCTTTAAGGTGAGGGTTGAAGGGGAAGTTCATGGGCATATGCCTGACACTTTGTCCAGAGCAGGGGTTCTCCAAGTAGGGTCTTCAAACCAGGGCATCCCCATTACCTGGGAGCTTGTTAGAATGTAAATTCTTAAAAAAAAAAAAAAAAAGTAAATTTTTGGGGCCCCACCCAGACCCTGGGAAACTGGGGGGGGGCACGGCAGTGTGTTTAAGGAGCCCTCGAGGCCATACCGATGCACCGAGAACCACTGGTCCCAAGGTTTCCTCGGGGGAGGCAGTGAGCCTTTTTCCCAAGGCAGAGAGAGACCTGGAGGATGCCGCCAGCAGCAGGGAGCTGAGTGTGCCTCAGCCTCTGCCTCCAGGGGTCACCCCAAGGCAAGCCCTGGGGAGATGCCCTGGCCCCATCCACAATCCCAGCCCGGATGGCTGGCTGAATGATGGAGCATTCTGGGGAGACTGGAGGTGAGTCAAGGGTAAAGACCCCACCCCAGCTGGGTCTCTGCCCTGTTTGTGTTTTGTAGACGGAGGAGGACTACATTCCCTACCCGAGCGTCCACGAGGTAACTGGCTCGCCCCTCTGAGCCCATCCCTGCTTGGGGTCCAGAGGTGCCCACGAAGGGAATCTGGATTCTCAGGTCCTCCTCCCTGCCAGGAGCCTGATTACAGGCCTTGCTGTGGGCACCAGAGCCTCAGCTTACTGGCCCAAGTGTTTAGAACTCCTATGAACTCTTAGACCTCTAATCCAGATCTTCCAGCCTCTCGGCCAAGGTCATGCTCCCAGCACTACCTTCCCCCAAGTCCTCATCCTTGGAGACTGGAACCCCATGCGCCCTGGGGCTATGCCTGTAGTAGGAAGAGAGGGGTTGGAGCACGTCTGCTGGAGGGGGGTGGATGCAAGCCCTGGGGCCCACGTAAGCTCTGGCTCATTCCCTGTCACTCCTGAGCCATGGCAGAAGGGGCCCAGTCTGAGTTGGGGGGGGTTGTCCTGGGGCCCTGGTAGGGTGCAGTGTGGGTGGTTTTTACCTGAGTCCCCTTTCAGGTCCTAGGGCGAGAAGGACCTTTCCCCCTCATCCTGTTGCCCCAGTTCGGGGGCTACTGGATCGAAGGCACCAACCACGAAATCACCAGCATCCCGGAGACGGAGCCGCTACAGTCACCCACGACCAAGGTGAAGCTCGAGTGTAACCCCACAGCCCGCATCTACCGGAAGCACTTTCTTGGCAAGGTGGGTAGCCCACCGGTGATGGGGGCCAGGCCTGGGAGGCAGCCAAACCCATGAGCTGGGGCTGGGTGTTAGTCCCCGAGTCCCGGGTCTCAAAACATTTGTGGTGGATTCACACATTCATTCAACAAACATGCATTGCAAAAGGCAGTATGGTGCCATAGTTAGCAGCAGAGGCGGCACCACGGCGTGACCCTGGCTCTGTCACTTGCTACATGAGACATTGGGCAAGTCACTTACCAAACGCCCCCTCCCCCATGCCTGTCTCCTCGTCCATAAAAACGGAGATGGTGGTGACACCCACCTCATGGGGTTGCTGTAAAGCCTTAACGACAGCAGTGTTTGCAAGGTGTTTAAAATGGTGTCAGGCATAAAGTGAGGCCTCAGTCAATGTTGTTGGCAAGTAATGAGCACCAGCTGTGTGCCCAGCCCGGTTCAGGGTACCAGGTATGCAGCAGCAAAGGGAACAGACCCAGGCCCCACCCTCAGATCAGGGCTGGAAGAACAGTGCCATGGACCGATGCAAACCCTTGTCGCATCTCCACCTCCAGAGGAGGGGTCCTGCCCGGTGACAGCTTGTCAGAGTCAGCGGGTGAGACTCTGGGGGCTGGAGGGGAGGTCACACACTGGAATCGTGTGTGTCTGGCTCCATGCCAGATGCTGTTCTCTGTGCCAGTTTGCAGCCCAGATGGTGGGGAGAGGTGTGGGCTCTGGAGTCTCATGGCCTGTGTGTGCATCTGGGCTCTTCCATTTCTTGACGGTGTGACCTAAGTTACTTAACCTCCCTGAGCCTGTTTCCTCATCCATAAGAACGTGGCTCGTAGAAGCATGTGTAAAGCTCACTCACGCTGGGCACAGAGTGAGTACTTAATCAGTGTTCGCTGTTACTACAGCTTCCTAATTACTCTGTGAGATCAGGATCATCCCAGTTTTTACAGAAGAGGAAAACTGAGGCTCATAGAGGTCAAGCGTCTTGGTCAAGGTCACATAATTATCTAGCTAGGAACTGAACCTAGCTCCGGCTGACGTTCCATTAAAGGGCGCTGGGAGGGCTCATGCTTCCAGCTCAAGGCACTTGAAGACCTCAGTGTGGCCCTTTGCCAAGTGCCTGCCGCTCCGTCTGCAGTTGGTGCCAAGCATTTGGGGGTTTCCATCACTGTGTGCCCAGCCAGGGTTCAGGGGGACTCTCAGCTCCAGGTCAACCCAGATTGTCCCCGAGCTGCGGGTTTGTGGGGGCACATCCCCTGCCCCTTTCTCCACCTGTCCTCTGAGCACAGGTGTTCCCGTTTCAACAGGACTTAACTTCAGGATGACTCCTGTGGCGGGTGTGGCCAGGAGCCAGAACCACTCCCAGGGCCAGGGCCAGCAGGGGGCGCAGAGCCAGGTTGGGGCGAAATATCTTGGCATTCTGGGCCTGCCATTGACCTCAGGACTTCCCCGTCCGGAGGTGCCAGGCCTGGGCTTCCCTCTGGGGGGACCATTCCTGTCGCAGCTCCCCCTCAGTCCCGCTGTGGTTTTTCTTCCCAACTCTGTGGCTCCTCCAGGTGAGGAAGGAGGGTGGGAACCTGCCGGGTCAGCCGCCCAGTGTGTTTATGAGATGTTTCACTTCCTGTTTCTCACGGGCCCTGGCTTCAGGGACCACAGAGCCACAAGCTGAGCAATCAGTCAGAAGACTTTTATAGAGCACCTACTGTGTGCCCAGTCTGAGAAGAGCAAGGGCTAGGAGATAGGTATGCAGGTACAAATGTAGTTCTGACTCGGATGAGGACCCAGACAGCCAAAGTAACTACAAACATTCAGTGAACACCTACACTCTGCAAGGTTGTTTATCTCTTCAGTCCCTGCGCCATCCTACAAGGCAGTTGGCCTCCCATTCTTCAGAGTGGGAAACTGAGGCACAGAGAGGCGAGGTGACCTCCTTTGGCTGCCTAGCTGGCAAGTAGCAGAGCGGGGATTTGAACGCAGGTCTATTTGATACCGAGTCTGCCATCACCCACGACACCTGCTGCTTGGTGAAGGACCCCCATCTGGGAGTGAGCTGGCTTTCTGGCCTGGTTTCTGGAAGCCCCAAGCTCAGCTCTACTCTCTCTCCCGGCCCCCGCCTCCCACCACAGGAGCATTTTAATTACTACTCACTGGACACTGCCCTGGGCCACCTTGTCTTCTCGCTGAAGTATGACGTCATTGGGGACCAAGAGCATCTCCGGCTACTGCTCAGGTAAGGGTGGGCCAAGGGGACCCTGTGACAGCAGGAAGAGCTGGGGCCTTACAGCCTAGAAGCCCATCTCATTGAACCCACTCTTCTCATCAAGGCCCAGTGAGGCCAGGGAGTTGCCTGAGTTTGCTCCGCAAACCAACCCCTGAGCCAGGCCAGGCCCCATCATCACCTCCAGTCCTCCCTCTCCCTGGAATATATCCCCTCCGGGCTGACTGTGCAGAGGGGCTCTTCCATCTCTGTCCCCTCTGCCTAGCCCCTCAGTGTGGGCTTTCTCCTCCCAGGACCAAGTGCCGGACACACCATGATGTCATCCCTATCTCCTGCCTCACTGAGTTCCCCAATGTGGTCCAGATGGCAAAGGTGAGGCCTGTTTGGGCACCCCAAGGGGGCACACAGCCAGGTGCAGCTTTGCCAGTGCACTGTCCTCTTGAGCCCCAGGTCCTAGCCCTGCCTGCTGCAGTCCTGCCTCCGAGGTCCCACCTCCCCTGTGTCCCATGACGCTGGCATGTGGCTCTTTGGTTTGGGCTCCTGTCCCCGGCCCGTGTGCTTTTCGGTCACTTTAGAGCACCTTCGGATACAGGGACCCCGGTTCTTTGCCCCATCCTGAGCAGCAATGAGCCCCCAGTCTGGCTGCAGACTCGGCTGCTCCCTCTCTGTTTGGCTGCTGTCCTTCCCAGATGGTGGCCCTGGAGGCCCAGAGGCCCAGAGCCCCTCCCCCCAGGCCCTCCCTTCTCCCTGCAGCTGGTGTGTGAAGATGTGAACGTGGACCGGTTTTACCCTGTGCTCTACCCCAAGGTATGGCTGTATCTGGGCCCCGCTCACTCGGCTGGGTGGCTAACTAGGGAACTGAGCACTTATGGGGCACCTGTTGTGTGCAGGGTAGTCCCCCCCACCCCCAGGTTCTCTCATTGAATCCACACAACTGTGCAAAGTCTGCTTTTGCAGGACAGGAAGCAGAGGCCCAGAGTGGCCCAACAGACGAAGGGGGCCTGCCTTTAACCTTAGTGTTGTCCGCCCTGGAGGCAAGCCTCACATCCCGGAGCTCTCAATGCCATTTGGGGCCCCTCCCAAGGGCAGTCACTGCTCCTGAGCCAGGGAATTCCGGTGGCCTTGCCTTTTGACCCAAGGGGACATGGGGAGAGGGAATAACACAGGTGCCTTCACAAATGCTGCCCCACCGATAGCGGCTATGCTCCCCGCTCTGGCGTTGCCTTTGAGGCCCTGTGGCCACGTGGGGTAAAGATTGGGCTTGTCTATAGTGAGACAGGAGTGCTTCCTGGAAGAGATGACCCTGAAAGACATGTCAGCCCTCGTGGCTCTGACTGAGTTCTGGAACGAGATGAGGACCCTGAGGGGTGCTGTGGTCCAGAAAAGTTCCCCCAAAGGAAGGGGCCTCAGAAATCAAATGTTAGCTCTCAGGTACAAGAGGCAACGGAGACCCAAGGGGAGGGGAACGTCTCCAGCCCCCACAGCAAGCTGGTGGGACTAGTCGCATTCTAGAATGAGGCTGTGGGTTTACAAAGGAGCCAAGGACAAAGTTGGGTATTACAGAGTAGACTCGGGTGGGGGCCTGTGGGCAAGACTCCCAGAGCAGTGAGCTGAAGCTTTGGTCATGAGTTCAAGTCCTAGCTCTGCCACTTGCAAGAGGCTTACCTTAGGCAAATCACAAGTTCCTTAACCTCTCCGAACCTTGGTTTCTTTGTCTGTAAAATGGGGACAGCAGCAGTGTCTCCCTCATGGGCTTGTCATGAAGGTTCAGTGAGAGGACCCAGGTAGAGTACCCAGCCCCACCACGCTCAGCATGGAGTCAGAGCATGACGTGGTGACAGGTTGGAAAAGCGGCCATCTCATCCCCGGTCCTCTCCCCACCAGGCTTCCCGGCTCATCGTCACCTTTGACGAGCATGTTATCAGCAATAACTTCAAGTTTGGAGTCATTTATCAGAAGCTTGGGCAGGTGCGCTCACTTCCTCCTCCAGGCTTCCCCACCCTGCTGGCCGTGGACCTGGGGCCTTAGACTTTGCCAGCGAGGCCGCCTGCCCAGGGACTGTGCTTTCCAGGAGCTCGGGGCAGGGCGGAGGGAGGGGACACGGAGGTCCTCCTCCCAGCCTGCTCTAGGTGTGAGTTGGGAGCTGGGGGCAGCAGCGGCTCAGGAGTGCAAGCTCGGTGACCTCTGCCCTCCCTGCATCCCCAGACCTCTGAGGAAGAGCTCTTCAGCACCAATGAGGAAAGCCCCGCCTTCGTGGAGTTTCTCGAATTTCTGGGCCAGAAGGTCAAACTGCAGGACTTTAAAGGGTGAGCATTAGGTGGGAAGAGCATCACTTAATTGGACCCATGCCCTGGGGCAGGGAGGGAGCCCCTGTCCTGGCCCAATGGAGGCCTGGCTGGGACTGGAGACTGAGCCGTGGCCTGGGGGGCCTGGGGCAGGTTCCGAGGAGGCCTGGACGTGACCCACGGGCAGACGGGGACCGAGTCTGTGTACTGCAACTTCCGCAACAAGGAGATCATGTTTCACGTGTCCACCAAGCTGCCCTACACAGAAGGGGACGCCCAGCAGGTAGCCTGGGCACCCACCCACCTGCTTCCCACCTGTCCCCCTGTCCCCCCATCCACCTGTCTGTTCAGTGTACACCACACCAGGTTCAGGGGCCTTGGGGTATAGACATGGAAACGATCCCTTCCCCCGACTTATGGGCCCTAGGGGGCAGGGTGACACTGCTGTAGTGTTGGGAAAGCCTGTTTCCACATCCATGCCGTGCGGATGGTAATGGCACTGACCCCACAGGTGAGCGCTCAGGAGGGAATGCATACCACGCGGCTTGAACAGTATCTGGTACATGACAAGAGCTCAATAAATGGGAGTTAGTGTTTTTACAGGGAGGGAGAGGCATTGTGGGGTCACATGGGGTTACTTAAACTTGGCAGAGGTAGGAGTCAAGAAAAGCTTTTAAGATAAAATGATCTCTAGGCCACAGAGGAGCTGGGAGAAGGAGGGGGAGTATTCCAGGTGGAGAAAATGGCTTCCACGTCCTGCAGAGGCCTGGCAGGGCGTAGTCTGGGAGCTGAACTCTGAAATTTGTCACCTGTCCCAAGCTTCCTGCAGGGCGGTCCACTTGACCCGATGCTGCCACCCCAGGGAGATAAAAGGGTGGTGTGAGAAAAATGGAAGTGTTTCTGTTTAGTATCTTTCAAGTTTCTTCTGAGAGGATCCTGTGTTCATCTCAGCACCAGGAATGTATACTCTGAGTGGAACCTGTTTGCTCATGAGGGGTTGTGTTTGGGGTACTGAGACAGAAGGAGGGCTGCAAGGTAGAGCCTGGGGCCCAGGAGCCCTGGGTTGGGGTCCTCTCACTCACCGCGGGGCCTCGCGAGCCCCTTCTCTGTCAGTCTCCGTTTCCTCATCAGTCACAGGATTCCAAGCAAACTGAAATAATTTGAAGCCAAGTTTCTCCTGACATTTTCTGGGGAGAGAAGCGGATCCTCAGACGTACCCTCTGCCTACCCCAAACCCTCCGGCCGACCTGCAGGCACCCTCCCCACCCTCCCCTGCGCCCGGCGAGGCCCTCTCTGTCCAGGTGGTCAAGGCCTGTGGCCCTGTGCTCAGTTGCAGCGGAAGCGGCATATCGGGAACGACATTGTCGCTGTCGTCTTCCAGGACGAGAACACACCCTTTGTGCCTGACATGATTGCATCCAACTTCCTACATGCCTATGTGGTGGTACAGGCCGAGGGCGGGGGGCCGGATGGCCCGCTCTACAAGGTGGGTGATGACGACGATTAGCTTCAGCCCCAGGCCCAGCCCCGCCCGGAGTCACTGAGACGGTCCAGAGGGCTCTGAGTCCCCCTCTTGCTCTGTTGATGAAGGAGTCCCAGCTGCCCTCTCTGCCCTCCCCCAGGTTATCCCCCTCCACGGAGCTGGTTACCCTTCTCCAACCTTTAATCTCCTTGGCCTTCCCTATCCTCATGACCCCTGAGATCCTCAAACTCTTCTCACCACTCAGATTCAGGACCGAGGATGGAGGAGCTGAAATCCTGGGGTTCACTGGCCCAATCAGCAGTTACTGAACCTTCCTCAGCAAGGGGCAGGCCCGGGATGAATTAGGGGTCTCTGGCTGGGGTGCGGACTCCACAGCAACTGCTGCTCTCCCTTCCAGGTCTCTGTCACTGCTAGAGACGACGTGCCCTTCTTTGGGCCCCCCCTCCCGGACCCCGCTGTGTTCAGGAAGGTGAGGGGCAGCCCCCAGCCCCCGTCATGGAGACAGCAGGACGAGATGGGTGGGGACTGAAGGGGGCACACCTTCTGCTAGAAGTGGTCCTGAAGCCTCACCGTGTGCCAGGCCAGCTGGGCTCCCCTAACCATGTAACTGGGGCCTGGCTTCTCGTTCAAAGTGATCTTCACTTACAAAGCCACAGAACAAAGTGCACCGTTGTTTTAGATTTCTCATGGGAGACTCTGTGGCCTTTCCTAATAGCTATTATCTTTTTGACAATTACAGTCATCTTTCTTCTAAAATGTCTGGGAACGGGGCACACGTTTCTCTTTCTTACCTGTCAGGCCCTGGCTTCACTTCTCCCCCAGACTGAGGCATAGGAGACCCCAGCCAGCTCCTTACAACTGTGAAGTTTCCTCTCCCGAGGGGTGGGCGACCATGAAGGGCACAGGGAACCCTCACAGGTACCGAGGCCAAGGAGCACCCTTCGGGAGTGAAGAGAACGACCCCAGGGCCCCAGCAAGGCACAGCTCAGGGACTCCAGCCCCTGAGTCACTGGGGTCCAGCCCCTTGCCTCTGTGTTCATCTGAGCACCATTCTCCTCTCCACACTGGGGGCTCCCAGGGGCCCGAGTTCCAGGAATTTCTGCTGACAAAGCTGATCAATGCTGAATATGCCTGCTACAAGGCAGAGAAGTTTGCCAAACTGGAGGTGAGGATGGGCTGTTGGGCTGAACCCCTCCCCCTAACCTGGGATGTCAGCCCTGCCCCTGGGGAGGGAAATGCCACCTTCAGACTTTGGCCTGAGGGAGAGCTGTCTGGGGTGGGGGCGGATTTACACGTGAGCAGGGCTTGGGTCAGGGGAGAGGGAGTAGAGAATTTCTAGGAATATGTGAGGAATGTCCCGGGCGGTTGGCACAGAGGACACCGTGCAGGAGGGGGAAAACTGGGGTTCGGGACGGGAGGAGCCCTGGGGGCTGCCGGAGCTGCGGAGGGGCCCAGGGGAAGACAGCGTAGGCTCCCAGAACCCAGGCTCACCCCCTACTCACTCGGAGAAGGCGGACGGGATTCTAATGTGGAATGAAGGGCCGATCACTGCGCTCTCTCCTGATGGCCCCCACCTGGCCCACAGGAGCGGACACGCACCGCCCTCCTGGAGACGCTCTATGAGGAACTGCACATCCACAGCCAGTCCATGATGGGCCTGGGCGGTGACGAGGACAAGATGGAGAACGGCGGCGGCGGAGGCGGCTTCTTCGAGTCTTTTAAGGTGAAGAGCCAGGGTCTACCTGGAGCGGAGGGGCGGGGGCGTGTCCAGGGTGGAATCGGGGGCGGGGTTACGGGCAAGGCGTGGGGGTGTGGCCGGAGGCGGGCTCGCAGTGGGGTGGGGTCGGGCCGGGATCTAGCTGGGGTGGGGTCGGGGCGGGGTTATGAGCAAGGCGAGGGGGTGTGGCCAGAGGGGGGCTCACAATGGGGGGTGGAGGCGAGGGGGTGGGGTCGGGGCAGGGTTAATAAACAGGCACAGATGAGTTGGGAGCTAGGTGGCAAGTACCTGGGTGGAGCGAGCTTCAGGGGGGACCTAGGTTTTAGGGTGGGGCTCTGACTTAGGAGGAGTTAATGATTGGAGGCGGAGCCTAGGCTTGGGGGTGGAGTCTACTTGGGAGTTCTGCGAAGGTGGAGCCTTCTGGGTGGCAACCAGGTGCCTCTGGTGGTGGCTGCCAGGTCAGCAAGCAGAAAAGGGAGGAGGAGGTGTCTGCCCTCAGAGGGAAAGTCTGAGGTGCGGTCTGTGACCTGAGTGGCCATAGGAGAGGGACCTGGCCTGTGTGACCTCAGACCTGTGTGACCCTCTGACCTGGCTGTCTCTGGTTTGGTGAAGTCCTGGGTTTATTCCCAGTTCTGCCACTCAACAGCTTGAGCATCCTCTGAGCTTCAGTTTCTTTCTTTTGTTTTATTAAGTTTTATTTAAATAATCTCTACACTCAATATGGGGCTCAAACTTATGGCCCCATGATCAAAAGTTGCATGGTCTTCCCACTGAGCCGTTTCTTTATCTACTGGGTAGGGTGGTGGCAGTTTACCTCCTACTACTGTTGAAAATTATTTGTGAAGGAGTTATATTTGTGCGATATAAGTTCAAAAACAAAATGCAAAACCCTGCCCGTCTCCCTAAGCAGTTGCTGTCCAAAGTAAGAGGTAGAGGAGGGGGGAGCTCCTCTTTCCCCCTCAGGTTCTGGATTCCCCCACAGCTGCAGGTGCCCAGGCGGTGGCTTCCTTGCCACTTTCTCCTTCATTCACGGGAGGGAAACTGCCCACCCTCCAGGTGCCCCACCAGGCAGGCTGGGCCTCACCCTCAGCCCAGGGCAGGCAGCAAAGCTGGAGATGTAGGTTTGCAATGGGTTTGCATAAGGGGATTGGTCCAGCTGCCCTGGCCTGCCCTGGACTTGGGCGAGCAGACCATCTTTGAGAAAGGAGCCAAAGGAGAGCCATGCCTGTGCGCATTGGAGACAGGGAATTGGGGGGTGGTGAAAATGGCTCTCGGGTGCCTTGAGGGGGATGGGGGTCGGAGGCCCCACATCTCTGGTAGGTGCTGGACAGTAGACCTGGATTAAGTGAAAGAATTTCTCAGAGGCAGCAGAACCCACAGTTAAGGTTGTGTGATTTGGAATATGGGTTCCAGGCTTGTCTCGTATGTGTAAAATCGGCATGGTAACAGTGCCTACCTTGTAGGGCAGATTGACTGAGTGAACGTAAAGTGCCCGGCCCCACAGGAAACGTTCAGTACAGATTGGCCGAGAAAAGCAAGGAAGGCGAGAGGGAGGAAAGAAAAGAAAGGAGAGAAAGACTTACAGGACCCTAAGAGCAGAAAACTGAGGTTTCTGGAGGGTTCTCTGTGCACGCCCTGGTCTTGCCCCAGCATCCTCTGCAGTCCTTACAACAGCCACATGTGAGAGTCTAGGAGGCTCAGAGAGATGTGGTGGCTGGTCCAACATCACCCAGCAAGCTGGTGGCAGAGCCAAGGCCCGAACTACCCTTAGGCGACATGTGGGCTTGCCCCTCCTATGGCCTCCCAGGCAGAGACTTCCTCGGGTTACCTGGAGTGGCACTGGTGGCGAGGGACCAGATGCCTGGGCTCCTAGGTTTCCTGGGGGGAGGGGGGACCTCAAAGTCTGTGCCTCCTCCACTCCCACCCCACCTTCACAGCGGGCCATCCGAAGCCGCAGCCAGTCCATGGATGCCATGGGACTAAGCAACAAGAAGCCCAACACCGTGTCCACCAGCCACAGTGGGAGCTTTGCCCCCAACAACCCCGACCTGGCCAAGGCAGCTGGAATAGTGAGTGCCCTCCCCCAGCAGGCCTCAGCTCTCCCCCAACTCTGGGGCCTGCCCTGCACCCCCTCCCCATTGCCCCGCTGAGTGCCCATCCTGGGTTCTAGACTGAGTCCAACCACTGCTCCCCATGGGGGTCCAATGTCCAGGCCACGACAGTGGGGTGCTGAGAGCCTGCAGCCCCCTTCCAGCTCCTCAGCCCATCCCCCCTCCTGGTCCCTTATTCAGGTGACTTTCTGCGGGTCCGCTCTGGGGCTACCTCTGTATGACATTCCTTACTGAGCACGTACTGTCTATCATGTGCTGGGAATGGGGCTGCTTTGTGGGCACCTACTGTCAAGCCTTGGGTTGCTGGGAGCACTACTGTGTGTCAGGCTGTGGGCACGCACTGTGTGTCAGGACCTGGATTTCTGTGTGAGCGCCTGCCGTGTGCCTGGCCCTGAGATGCTGGTGGGTACTTACTGTGTGTCAGGACTTGGGCTGCTCTGCGAGCTCCTGTTGTGTCAGGACCCGGTTGCTGTGTGGACGTGTACTGTGTGAGCTACTACCGTGGGCCTGAGCCTGAGTGTCTGTGAGTACTTACTGTGTGTCCGCTCCTGGGCAGCTGTGTGGGCATCAGCTCTGTAAGTGTCCACTGGATGTCCGTCCCTGGGCTCTTGTGTGAGAACCTACTATGCATCAGGAGACGGGCTCCTGACTCCTGACTGAGCACACGGTCCATGCTAAGCCCTGGAGACCAGGGAAATTTCGCTGCGCGTCAGGAAGCGAGCTGTGGTGTGAGCGTGTTCTCTGTGAGCCCCTTCTTCTGCGCGCCTGGCCCTAGGCTGCCTGTGAGCACCTACTGTGTGTCGGGGCCTCTCTGGTTGTGGCTGCCTCTCATGTGTCAAGAACTGGCTTCTTTGCGAGCGTCTCCCGAGCGAGCACATACTGTGTGATTACTTCCTGTCTCCCATCCTCTGCGGGACTCTGCTGCTAAGACTGGGGGGTGTGCTGGGCACACGGGGTGGATGAGGCCTTCAACTCTGGGCCCATCTGCTTTCCACCGCCCAGCGTCCGCCCCTGGCGTGGCACCCACTGCTCTGCTTCTCCCCGCCCTGCCATCTTTCTGCCATCCATCTGTCCGGCTGTCCTTTTGTCTTTCATTGACTGCATGCCGCATGCCAAGCCCTGTGCTCCATGCTGTGAGGCTGTGTCACGTGGCAGGAGGTCCCTCCCCCATCCCCCAGCCACCCCTGTCCCATGGTCTGGCCTGGCCCGGGGAGCAAGGCAGGGCCTCTGCTGGCCTGCAGTCACAAGCCTACTGTCCCAGGAGAAGCAGGCTCACCCCCTCCCTTCCCGCCGAGTGGCCCAGCCTCCTGTGGGTGCTGTCAAGGGGCCCCGGGGCCGGGCCAGGCCAACAGCACCCACCAGGGCAGTAACCAGACCCATTTCTGTTTTTGTTTTTGTACATCTCTCTCTTCTGCTCTTACTCCTTTTCCTTCTGCGTCTGTATTGTCTCTCTCCTTCCCTACTGTCCCCCGTCCCACGGACACCTGTCTCTTCCCTCCTCCTACCCCCGCCCACACTGTTCTCTCCCTGCTTTCTCCTTCCCGTCTCCCTGTTTTTCCTGGCTCTGTCTGTCTGCGTTTCTCTCCATGACCCCGTTTGTGCTCCCCAACCTGTGTCTGTCCGCGTCACTGTCTTTTGGCCCATCTCTCTCCTCTATCCACTGTCCTACCCCTTCCTGGCCATGTTGTTTCTGTCAACCCACTGCCTCACTGTCGACTCTGTTTCTCTCTGTCCGTCTGTCCTTCCCCCCTTTCCCTGTCTCGCCTCTCCCGCCCCTTCCATCTCTCTGTGTGTCTCTCTCCACGTCTGTCTGTTTCTCTCTGGCCCTGCCCTCTGCCGCTTGCCAGTCATTGCTTATTCCCGGGAAAAGCGCGAGTAGATTCGGACGCCGGGGCAGTGCCATAGGCATAGGAACCGTGGAAGAGGTTGTCGTCCGCGGGGCCGCCGGCTCTGGAGGCTGCCTGCACGTGCTGTTCTCTGCTCGCTCTCAGGACGGAGGCCATATTGGGGACGTTGCCCCCCACCTTCCCTTGGGTCGGGCCCGGGGCTGTGCAGGGTGGAGTGCCGGCAGCTCGGGCTCAGAGGCCTCATACCTGTGCCCGAGCCTGTGTACCCCCTCCAAGCCCCCACTAGGGGCTTCTGGCCCTGCCCTGGCCCTTGGGACCCTGGCCGAGTCCCTGCCAAGATCTGGTACCCAAAGACCCTACGCCCAGCTGCACGTCCCCCAATATCGCCAGTTCTGCATGGAACGCCATCCCTCTCCTTTGCCCTGATTCCCGCCCCCCGCACCATGAACCGGCCTGGGGGTTCCTGCCACTCCATGCCTCCCTGGGGCCCATCGTCCTGCCTCCTCAGAGAAGCTGGGGTCTGCCTCTGGCGCTGGGGCTTCCCACCCTAGCGTTCTGAGTAACCACGGGAGGGAGGGTGTCTTTCAACCATGGAGCGAGTGTCTCCTCCAGCCAGTTTGGAGGTTCCAAGGTGCGGCGGGGGCTTGTGCTGCAATGTCCACCCTCTCCCCGTGGCCCTGAGCCGCCTCCAGGTCCGAAGACAATGTGGGCCAGGGGGCTGGGAGTCATGCTGAGGTCTCAGCCTCTTCCCATCCCGGCCCAGAGTGGCTGCCCAGCCTCCTCGGGTTCCTGCCCTTCTCCTGGACTGAGATTCCAGGCCCCATGCTGCTGTGTGCTCTTGGGGGGCCCTGGCCCTCACCAGGCCTGTTTCCCTGTCTGTGAACTTGGAGGGCTATCTCTGGAGATGGAGATTTCTCTCGTCCTTTCCTGCTCCGTTGCCTCTGCTTCAGGGCCTGGGGCAGCAGGGCCCCAGGTGGCATGTGGGGGGCAGAGGCTCTCCCAGGACAGGTGGGCACTGAGTTGAGGCCTTTCCCTGCAGTCACTGATCGTCCCTGGAAAGAGCCCCACAAGGAAGAAGTCGGGCCCGTTCGGCTCACGCCGCAGCAGTGCCATCGGAATCGAAAACATCCAGGAGGTGCAGGAGAAAAGGTGGGTGGGCAGGTCCCCTGTCTCCTCCAGCCCCTCCCCTGGCTCCTTTGCGGTGGCAGAGTTAGGCAAGCAGGAGGGAGTGCCAACTCCTCTGCCCCCCGTCCCTCTCTGGTCACAGTTATGTAGCCAAGCACCTGCCGTGTGCCAGGTCCCTGGGCCAGCTTGTTATCTACCGTGCGACACCATCTCTGGTCAGCGGGTCTGCTGGGCTCCGCAGCGGGTCAGCCTTGCATGGCAAGGTGCTGTAGACGAGGGTGCGGGGGCCTGCCCAGGTCACACAGCCAGGGAGAGGGGGAGCTGAGATGGACAGCCTGGCCTGTGGGGGTTGCGGGGCGACACCTGTGTGGGAGGGTGCAGGTGGCACACCTCAGAAGCAGCAGGATGGCCTCTGGGAACCAGAGGACAGGCCCTGACTGTGCATTCTGCCTCTACCACGTTGGGGCTGGGTGACCCTGGGAAAGTCACTGGACCTCTCTGAGCCTCACCGTCCCAATTTGGGAAATGAGGCTAAGAACACAACAGACAGCATGGGGCGGCCGTAGATGTGTGGTGTGGGGCATGTGACACAGGGCAGGTGACCCGGGGCTCGGGAGTAGAGGTGGTACCATCCTCATGGCCACGGGAGCCCAGAAGCCTGTGAAGCCTGGGTTCAGATCTTGACTTTGCCATGGAGCTAGCTGTGCATCACGGGGCAGATTCCTTCCCGTCTCTGGTCTCCAGTCGCCTTCCTCATGACAGGGATAAGGAGGGGAGAACTGGAGGAGTGTCCTATCTTCCATAGATGTTCTGGCACACCTGCTCCTTTCCTCGGCCAGGCCAGCCACGTTGCTGCAGGGACAGCCCTGGGGTTGGCCCCTGAGGATATACGGTATGGGGATGAGGCAGGAGGCACCCGTGACCTCACCACCTGGGCCTCATTCTACCTTTGATGCCAGGCCCAGTGCTGAATCCCCCCACTGCCCCCGTGTGCCCCGCAGGGAGAGTCCCCCCGCCGGCCAGAAGACCCCAGACAGCGGGCACGCCTCACAGGAGCCCAAGTCGGAGAACTCATCCACTCAGAGCTCTCCAGAGATGCCCACGACCAAGAACAGGTTGGGGTTCAGGGCACGCTGAGCCAGGGGGCTTGGACTCACCCTTTCCAGTCTCTGCGTGGGCCTGGGGCTGCCCGTTGGGCACCAGGGCTTTGTGTGTTGGACACCAGGGCATCAGGGAGGTCTGGGCACTCTCACAGGTCCTCCTTTGACACATACCAACCGAGATCTTCATTCATGCCAGGCCCCAGGCCAAGCTCCAAGTCCAATAGTGAGCTGGGCATGCACAGCCCCTGCCCCATGGAGCTGACACTGCAGAGTAGCGCAACCTGATGAGCTGTTTCTAGCTGGTGACACAAGAAGACAATAAAGTAGGGGATGCGATGAGGACTTACGGGGTGAGGGGGCAGGTAGTTGGTGCTCAAGAAAGACATCTAGAAATGAGGGAGGCTTCAAGTGAGAGCTGAGTGAGGAGTCAGCCCTGCTAAGACTGGCATGGCAGAGGGAAGAGGGCTCCAGGCAAAAAGCACAGCAAGTGCAAAGGCCCTGAGGCATGCTTGAAGGATAGAAGAGTGGTGCAGTTGGAGCTGAGTGAGTGAGGGGCTGGGCCCAGGCAGACTTTGTGCTGGGTGATGCTGGGGATGTCAGGGAGATGGGCAGGGGCTAGATCCTGACTTTGGAAGCCATATGAGAATTTTGCATTTTACTCTAAGTGGAGCCAAGGAGAGCCCTTTGGGATTTTAGCTAAGAGGAGTGATGCTTTCCAACCTGATTGTGGATGCCATGTGAAGAGGTGGGGTGGGGAAGAACGGAAGTAGAGAGAGGCCACCCCTCTCTCCAGTGCTGTGGCGCAGCCTCCTCTGTCCTGGCTGTGGGAGTGTCTAGACTCCCAGACTGTTCTCTCCTGAAGGGTCAGGCCAGAAGGAATGCACGACAGGGACGGGGAGAGACAGGGCTTGCAGACCCAGAGTGGGGAAGTCCTTTCCCACCTTGAAAGGAGGAAATCAGGGAGGAGGAGACCCTCAGCTGAATTTTGAAAAATGAATTTGCTTTTGGAGATTTGAGGGAAGGAGTGAGACTCCAGGAGACACAAAGTCTTGAGCATGGAACAAAACTGAGAGGGTTGAGAGTAGACTGTGGAGTTGGAAGGCCTGGGTCCTAACCCCTGTTCTCCCACCTATAGCTGGGTGACCTTGGGCTATGTGCCCACCCTCTCTGAACCTCAGTGTTTCCTTATCTGTAAGATGGGTCTATTAATGATAATCATGAGATAACTCCAGTAACAGCACTTAAAACAGTGCCTGGTACAGAGCAAACGTACTCTGGACCAGAGTTTCTCTGTAAATAGTTATTATTATTACTGAATACCTCACCAAGGAAATTAGACTTTATCTGGGGCGATGGGGAAACACAAGAGGGTTTTGCTCAGGGGAGAGGTGTGCTCAGACCCAGGAACTAGGAAGGACAGCCGTGGGGGGAGGCTCTGAGGCCTGGGCAGCTGTCGTGGGGGCCACTGAGGTGCCTGGGTGGCTGCAGGCTGGGCCCCCCAGGGCAGGGAGGCGGGGTGTGGGGCCCGGAGCAGACGCAGGCTGACAGGGGCTGTCTGCGCAGAGCGGAGACGACAGCCCAGAGGGCGGAAGTGCTGAAGGACTTCTCCCGCTCCTCGAGCAGCGCCAGCAGCTTCGCCAGCGTGGTGGAGGAGACCGAGGGTGGGGACGCGGACGACACAGGCCTGGTGAGAGGCCCAGGGAGCCACGGTGCTCTCCAGTGGCTGGGAGGCAGCCCTTTGGTCCCTGTAGATACTCAGGGCAGAAGCGTGGTGTGTGGGTGAGATGTGGGTGTGCTGAGATGCAATCAGGGGACCCAGCCCAAAGGAGTCATGCAGATGAATGCTCCCTTACTCTGAAGCCTTCCATGGCTCCCCAGTGTCACCCCCAGATAGCCCCATCTCTAAAGGCTCCATTGAGGAGCCAGTCCCTCCCCAGCCTCATCTCTTACCATTTTAGCTGTCCTGTGCTCCGTTGCAGTCCCCGCAACATACCAGGCTTAACCCACCTCTGGGCCTTGTCACTTGCTACGTCCTTGGTCTGGAACATTCCCCCTGTCTCCTCTTTCCCCCTTTGTCTGACTGACTCCTATTCATCCTTCCCACTCGGCCTCCCATCACCTCCTCCTGAAAGCCTTCCCTGATTTTCTAGTCCCAGGGTAAGTTGGGAACCCCCTTTTCATGCTCTCACAGCCCCCCGGGGCTTTGCCTTTAGCACCCTCCTGTCATCATTCTTCATTCAGCAAAGCTCTAGCAGCCCCCTCTTCCTTGCCAGGCCCTCTTCCAAGTGCTGCAGATGCAGCAGGGAGCCGGGAAGACCATGGCCCTGCCCGTGGGGCTCAGAGTCTGGAATTCTGCTCGTCTCTTCACAGCCTGTCTTGCCTCCTAGACCTCACTGTCTGAGGGCAGGGACCCTGCCTGCTTTCTCTTACCAACTCAGCCCAGTATAAACCTCAGAATGTTTGCTGAATGAATGAATGGGAGTGTGTGGTGTATACCGCCCCCCCATCCTCCTGTGGTCTCGCTGGGGCAGATGTTGCTGGGCCCCCATCCTCTTTGCAGGGGGGCGAGGGTGAGGGGTTCTGGATTGCAAACAGAGGAGGCCGGGAGACAGGCCCGGGAGCCCAGCCAGCCCCTGGAGAAGAGCTGACCTCCCTCTTTCTCTCTTCCCCCACCCCCAGGAGAGCGTCTCTTCCTCAGGGACGCCTCACAAACGGGACTCCTTCATCTACAGCACATGGCTGGAGGATAGCGTCAGCACCACGAGTGGGGGCAGCTCTCCAGGTACCAGGCCACAGGCAGCTTCCCCTGCCAAGCCCCTCTTGTGGCAGGAGGGGGCCAGGGAGAAGCACAGAGGGCCGAGACCACTCCTCACGCCCCAGGCAGTGGGTGTGTGCTGGGCCTGCGGACCACCCCCCTACAGCGGGGACAGCGGGTGGGTCTGGGTCGTTATCTCACCAAGAGGGCTGCTGACTTCAGGAGGGCTCTTGGGGGATGACAGAGGAGGGGTCAGGAAGGGAGGAGAGGGGGATTCCCTGAGGGAGGGACTCCGTGGGGGCAGGGACGTGGAGCACCGGGCGGTGCCTACGGCCCATCCATGCGTCACTCTCCCTGGTGCCTCCCCGCGGCCAGTGAGGTGGCTCCCTCCTGCCCCCCTCCCCAGGCCCCTCACGGTCACCCCATCCCGACGCCGGCAAGTCGGGGGACCCTGCGTGTCCCGAGATCAAGATCCAGCTGGAGGCGTCTGAGCATCACACATCCCAGCTGGTAGGTGCCGCCGCCTGGGGGCTGCCCGGTGAGAACGCTCCCCCAGTAGGGGGTCTGCTGCTGGGGAAAGGGGACAGGTGTCCAAGGGGACTGGGGGTGGACGCCAGACCAAGAGGTCCCCTGAGGCCAGGAGGGGCTGGGTTCATCTGGCCCTGGGGGCAGCCCGTGTCTTCTGCTTGTCTATGTCTCCTGCCCGGTGTTGTCATCTGTCCTGTGTCTCCTGCCCCGTGTTGTCATCTGTCCTATCTCCTGCCTCACCCGCACTCTGTCCGCGCAGGGCTGTTAGCCAGGCTCCCGTTCTGAAGGTGACACTGAGCAGGTCAGACCCAGTCCTTGGCTCTTGTTTGGTGTGGAGAGGGCGGGAGGGGGCAGGGGTGGGCGGGAAGGGGGTATGACTCCTCCTTGTTCCTCTACCGTCTATGGACCTGGATTGGAACCCTCTGCCCCTCAGAGGTTGGGTGGGACTCTGGAGGTCACTGGCCCCTCTCCGAGACTTGGTTTCCTTATCTGTGTAGTGGGTCCAATAGCTGCTGCCTCACCTCCAGCCACCAGTTGCTGGGAGGATATGGTGGGAGCCTGCGAGGGACTTGGGAATTGCTGGGAGGAAAGGGCCTGGGGGATTCCCAGTGGGACCGGAAGACCCGGAAATAAAGCCTGGGACCGCAGGGGTGGGCCCCTCCGGCTTCTCTCTCGCTTCATGGCGCGTTCATCTCCCTTTACCCTGCAGATGAGGTCGCAGAAGCACAAGGTGAAGATGCTGTGTCAAGTCCAGGTGGCTAGGCCCTCTGCCCCCAAGGCCAGCACCAGCCTGTGGGCTGTCCCCTGCCCCCACCTTGGCCACCCGTCTGGGCTGTCTCTGCAGGGCGGAGCCATCCAGACCTGGGAGGGGGAAGCTGCTGGCATCATCCCAACCCCCCGAGGCTGGGGCAGGCCGTGATCAGTTGAAGCAGAACCCCAGGCCTGGCTTGCCCCCACCCCGGGCCCTTCATCACACCTGGGTGCCCCTCTGGACTCATGGGGAGCAGGATGGGAGGGGAGGACTGACCTATCTCCGTGCGTACACAGCCTACTGTGGAGGCAGTGGGATGTGAAATCTGGGGGAATGAGCGCTGGGCTGGGAGTCCTGAGTCCTGGCTTCCAATTTTGGTTCTGCTGTGTGACTTTGGGCAAGTCCCCATCCCTCTCTGGGTACCTCTGCTGCAAATGGACAAGATTATTTCAGAGGTCATTGAAGACTGTGATTCCATGCACCTGCCCCAGAATGGGGGCTATCCTCCTAGGGGCCCCCATCACCCTACCTTGCTTCTTGGGTTCCCTGGGACCCCAGGTGGGCTGAAGGGCTGGGAGCTGGCTATGCCCATTGCCCCTCATGGACCCTCGAGCTCTACCACAGGTCCTGTCCACTGCCTCCACCTGACAGACAAGTGGCCCCCTGAGGGGGGTGGACCCATCTAGCTCCTCAGCCAGCACCCAGCTTAACCCCTGCCATCCCATGCTCTGGGCACCCCAGGTTGAGGGGTCTCAGCTGGCCTAGAGTTATGGGCCTTGCCTTTGCGCCCCCCCCACCCAACTCCCAGGGAGGGGGCAGCCAGGCCCAGCTGCTGTGAGTCCACATCCTTGTGTGTGTCTGTCCACACTTTTTAGGCACCACACCAAAGGCCAGCCTTCCGGCCCCAACACCCATTTTGGAAGCCCCCGTGGCTGTGTGTATGTCAGTAACAGTTGTATAAAATAAATTCTATTTATCGCTATTGTACCCCGGGTCAGGCCTGGCTTTGTGCGGACCCCACCGACTCCGGACAGATCTCAGTGGCCCCGGGGTACCAGCCTGTCCGTCTCCCTCACCCCACCCTTCAGAGCTACAGGGGTACCTCCATGGCCAAACTACGGGTTCTGTGTGCTTCCCTCCCATCGTGCTGCCCTTCCGTCCACCCTGCTCCCTGTCTGTGCAGGGGGGAGGAAGACCGCTCCATGGTCAAGCTGACCTCGGTTTCATTCCCGGCGCCATCTCTTTCTAGCTGGGGGGTCTTGAGAAACTGGAGCCACAGTTTCCACTTCAGTGAAATTGGAGCGAGAGTATCTGTCCCCAGGGCTTGTGATGGGGGTTCCTCGAGCTGGTGTATAGCAAGCACCTGGCTCATTGGTACACAGTGGGTGCTGGGTGATGGGCCTCCGGCTCTCCTTTCAGTTGCTCAGAGAAGCACAAGAATTTCCTCAATATGGCCACCAGGGGGCGCCAAGGGATCGCTTACCGGGACAGACAGTCCTGGGCAGTTACAGTAAGGGTACGGCGTGACCGGGGTGTGCACAAACCGGGGGGGCCCAGCCTGGGTGAGGGGGTCGTGGAGCAGACTCCGCAGCAGTGCTGCCCGAGCATCCTGGAAAGGCCTAAAAAGGGTCGCTGGGCCAGGGAACCGCAGGTGCAAATGTGGTGGAGCAGAGTGCCTGGAACTGGGAAGGGAGCAAACAGTTCTGTTTTTGTTTTTTTTGAGGATTGTATTTCTCTCTTTTTCTTAAAGAAATTTATTTATTTATTTATTTGATAGAGAGAGATCACAAGTAGGCAGAAGCAGGCATAGAGGGAGGGGGAAGCAGGCTCCCCACTGAGCAGAGAGCCTGATGCAGGGCTCGATCCCAGGACCCTGGGACCATGACCTGAGCCAAAGGCAGAGGCTTTAACCCACTGAGCCACCCAGGCATCCCTGAAGACTATTTCTTTACTTAGCATTCATGTACGGGGGTAGAGGGGCAGAGGGTGAGGGGAGAGAGAATCTTTTTTTTTTTTTTTTAAGATTTCATTTATTTATTTGACAGAGAGAGATCACAAGTAGACAGAGAGGCAGGCGGAGAGAGAGAGGAGGAAGCAGGCTCCCTGCTGAGCAGAGAGCCCGATGCGGGGCTCCATCCCAGGACCCCGGGATCATGGCCCGAGCCGAAGGCAGAGGCTTTAACCCACAGAGCCACCCAGGTGCCCCTAGAGAGAGAATCTTAAGCAGATTCTGCACTGAGCACAGAGCCCGACCTGGGGCTCCATCTCACAACCCTGAGATCATGACCTGAGCCGAAATCAAGAGGTAGAGGTGGGCGTTCAGCTGACTGGGCCACCCAGGGGCCCTGCAAACAGTTCTGAGTGATGGGAAGGTGACAGGGTAAAGGTGAGGCCAGAGCCATGTGGCCTTGAATGCCAGACCAAGGGGCCAGGGGTCTGTGCTCAGGGCAGTGGGGAGCCATGGAGGATTTAAAACCAGATTGCCATAGAAGCTGGGGTTGCTGCTGGGCTGGGCAATGCCAGGCAGGGAAGGGAGTGTCGAAAAGGCCGTCTTTGGGGACAGTGGGCAGGCCTGGAAGGACTGGGGGGCGTGAGCGTCTGGCTGAGGGGCCTGATGGGACGTGGGACGTGGGGCTGAGGCGGGGGAGTCCAACCCTGCTACTGGGTGGGGGGCCCCTCTGAGGTAGGAGGGCAGGATGGAGTAGCTTGGGGTGGCACATGCCTTCCTGAGAGCTTTGTGGCCTCTCCTCTGCCTGCCACAACCCCCACGCCCTCCCCAGGACCGTGGTGAGCGCACATCTCCCCCCTCCAAGGGGCTGCCATGTTTTTCCTGACAGTGGCGCTAGGATGTCTGGGGCCACCCAGGGGCTGTGACTCACAACCAATCCCTAACCCCGCCCGCCCGGTTTGGCTCTAGGCTGCCCTGGGCTCCATGGGTCCCCTACCAACCCCTGCACAGCCTCACCCCAGTCCAGTAGCCTGAAGCCTCCCTGCCACCTTCCGTCCTCCCCTCTGTCTCTTGCCCGGCCTCCTCCCACCCCACCATGGAAGGGTTAGGGTTAGGCAGCCGCAGTTCAGCACCAAGGTCAAGAGCTGGGTGCCTTTACCTCCTCTCTCTGTGACTTGGGGGACATGATTTTTGGCTCTCTGGGCCTCGGTTTTCTCATCCGCACAGTGAGAGTGCTGATAGTTCTGACTTGGGTACCCTGACATGAGGATTCAGGGGGCAGCCCCAGCACCAGGTGTGCTCTATAAACAGTGAACGTGTTGGGGGTGGGGGGAGTGATTTGTCGTTAACGGGGACCAATACAGCAGCCCCATCGGAGGGTGTGGGATCGGCTTTCTGTGCAGAAGATGGATAGCCCGTGCTGGCCCAATGCAGATGTCCAGACCTTGGGAACGTGTGATCACCAGTTGCTCCCGGAGCCTCAGCTCCCCGGGCTTTGCCGGAACTGACAGTCCTTTCAGAAGGGGGCTCAGATACCCTCACCTGTGTGCTTCCCCATGCACCCCGCATGCGCTCTGCTCTGCTCCACATCTGGGCCGGAGCCCCGGGGTCTGTCACAGCAGACGTGGAACCTGCCTTTGCCGGCCCAGCCTGCACCAGCCCCGCTCTGTGTAGGGCAGACCTCTGGGCTGAGTTTCGGACTCGGCCCCAACCCATCCCCACCTTCCCAGCCTCCAAGGTGGGGCCAAGGGAGGCTGGCCTCCAGGATCAAAGTGTCCGATGGTTTCTCTTGGGCCCGCGCCAGCTCCTGGCTTGCTCTGGGTTCTGAGGTGGGGAGGGCGGGCCAGGACACTGACCCCAGGCTGGAATTAGGCTTGGGTGGGGGGCCCCAGGCTCCGGGAAGCCGGGGACTCTACTTAGAAATAACTCCAGCGGTGGAAATGACAGCCAGGGGTGTCTCCAGACGCAGGAGGCAAGAGGCCTCCTGTAGAGGGACTTGGGAGCCTGGCTGACCCGACACCCGTCTCCCCTGCCTCAGAGCTGGTACCTGTCCCTCCAGGTTGCAGGTTCACCACCTATAAAAGGAGGACAAAGCCTTATCTATTGCTGTGAGGAGGCTGTCATGGCTTCTGAGGTGCCTGGCCTGAGACCCATGCCCACTAGGAGGGGTCCTCTCCCATCCCATAGCAGCTGGAGTGTGCACCGTCATCCACGGCTAACCCTGGGCGACTTTGCCAAAGAGACGGCCGCAGGCCCAGGCCCGCCCCGTGTCAGGGGACCCGGACCTGGATGTTCTCTACTGCTTAGGCCACAGGGGGTACTTAGCCAGGGACCCTGGAATGTAGAGGTCTCCCTCCCTCCCTGTACCCGCCCTGCCCAGGGGACAGCCAGGGACGGAGCCTCCTGAAATAACCAGATCTGGTTAGGGAGGCTAATTTTAAAAGCCACTCTGGCTGCCCCATAGGCCCTTCTGGGAAGCCATGAATGTCCCTGTGTTGCCCCTGGGAAGCAGGGTGAGGGGCGAGCAGCAGGGGCCAGGGCTGGACTCCTCGCCCTGACTGTTAGGGCGGGAGACCCCCAGCTGCCTCTCAGGGCCTTCCCATCCAGGACCCAGAGTCCCAAGGCCAATGTTGGGGCTTAGGGGCCCAGCCTCTACCCCGATCCACTCAGGGAGAACCCTGAAATCTTTGGATCTCTGTCTCTCTCTGCCACTGACACTTGAGGTCCCTCTTTGCAGGAGTGGCTCTGTCCCCCTCTCTCTGGGCCCATCACGAAGGCGGTCAGACAACATTCCTGACAGACCATAGGCTGGAGCGTACACACCAGGTTGGACTGGGTGCCCACCTGGGAACCAGGGTCCTGTTGGGGAGGACAGTGGTCCTGGAGGCGGACAGGGGCTATAACGGGGCAGGCAGAGGCCATGTCGAGGCATGACATGGGCCATCTGGACAGGCCAGGTGCCAATAGAAGGAATGAGCTCCAGGGGTAAGGTTGCCAGATTTAGCAAGTAGAAACACAGAGCCCAGTTAAACTTGAATTTCAGATAAACAAGAAATAATTTTTAGTTTAAGTATACCTCATGCAATATTTGGGACATACTTATACTAAAAAATCATTCCTTGTTTATTTGAAATTCAAGTTTAACTGGTCATCCTATATTTTATCTGGCAGCCCTAACCTTGGGAGGTTCCAGGAGTGAGCCGAGAGGTTTCTCGGGAATGGCAGGTTTTATAGCCTGTGGGAGTCCCAGGCTTGGTGGGGGGATAGCACAACCATGCTCTGTCTCATGGCGGGGGCACACCTCCTGCCCACAGGGAGATTTCAGTTTTCTGGTCGTAGGGACCGTTCTTGGGAGCCTGGGGGCAAGGGGCCGTGACCCTGACACCAGCACCACACAGGGAACCACAGGGATAGAAGGGAGGGTCTGTGTATGTTCCCCGCTGAGCCGCAGGGTCTAACCCAGGGCCTGGCACATAGTAGGGGCTTCATAACTATTTGCTGAATGAGTGAAGGATCTTCCCCACCTCCGTGGGGATGGGCACGCTTGGCCAGCAGGGGGCTCCAGCAGCCTACCGTGCAAGCTCCGTGGAGCTCACTGGTGTGTGCAGAGGCCCCATCCTGGGGGCTCCCCAAAGGGAGCTGCAGGAAAGGAGTGAAGGGAGAGGGGCTGGAGAGAGGAGGCCAGTTTTTCCCTATGGCTCCCCCGCCCCAGACTCCGCTCTCAACCGGAGTTCAGCCTGGGCAAGAGGGCGGTAGGAGGTGGGGACTAGGGCAGGAGAACCTCCGGCTGACAGCATTGGGGGTTGGGTGGGACAAAAGTGGAGGGGCAGACCACAGAGGTGTTCTCAGGGTTCCTTCGCGGGGGCACTCAGACAGCTGGATGAATTCCTGGGACCCAGGTAGTTGGGGACCCTCATTTCTGGAGAGCTGAAATCGGCCTTTTCCTGTAGGCTATTAATCTTAGGGGACTCCCTGGAGGGAATGACTATGCCCTCTCACACCTCCCCAAGAAACAGAGGTCCTTAAATAGCCTTTTAATCCCTCATTCATTCATTCATTCCTGACTCACCCACTGTCGCCATTTGCTGAGATGACCTCGCTTGGGGACTTGGGCTAAAGGACCATAGCAAATTGTCTGTGCTTAAAAGGAGTGCACCTGTTCTAATGCCTGCACTGTACCTGGCTCCCTGTGCAGTCCTGGGCAAGAGACCGAGGACCTCGGCTTTGCCATCCCTGCCATAGGGTTGGGGCTCCCAGCCCCCCGCTGGAGTAGCTAAAGATGGAAGATGGTGCCAGTCCACAAAGAGGGCTGCGGTGGCGGGGGCACCTCCTGATCAGTGTTGTTACCCTCAGTGTCCTTCTCATGAGGTCCCTGCGTGCCAGTCAGGGAGCTGCCCCTGGCCCCGAGGCCCTGGCTTCATGGCCAGTGTCACGCTTAGGTTTCATCATCTCAGCCCTCGTCCCTCCTTCTCAGGGAATGTCATCTCTTTCAAGGTGCCTCTGGCCTCCAGATGCAGCAATGGATCCTTCAGGGAAAAGCAAGAAGTAGGGACAGAGGTTGGAGCTGCCATCGGAAGGCAGGGCTTGGGCCTGGCCCCCTCTAACCTGCAGTGTGGGCTGGAGCTTGTCTCTTCCTGCCCCGGATCTCGGTTTCCCCAGTTGTACAACGAGGGGTTGGGGCTGGACATCCTCCATGCCCTGGAAGGGGCCTTTCTGTGTGTCATCCTGTTAGTAACGGTTTAGCTCCGAGCCTATAATCACATCTGCCCTGGGAAGAACTAACACAGCGTTTCTTTAAATTGGGCTCTAATTGCGGCTTTTAGTGGAGTCAGATGCTCCCCATCCCCCAGCTGGTCTGAATCAGGGAGGTTGTCCCGACCTGCCCTGCCAGGCCCAGGAATCCCCTGGGATTGTTCTAGCTGTCATGGCGCTGGTGACAGGTCAGGCACTGGGGTCTCCCAAGAGTCTACTGTGTGTCAGGCCCCAAGCCAGGCACTCTCCATCCGGAGGACTCTGGGTCATCTCACTACATCCGTGGGAGGCAGGGGCCACTGAACCACTTTTCAGAGAGGAAACTGAGGCACGGAGAAGTGTAGTCACTTACCCAAGGCTACTCATCTAGGAAGAGGCACAGGCCGGATTTGAACCCAGATCTGTTTGATTCCAGGGTGTTGCGCTCAGCCTGAAGCTGAGGCGCCACGCCCCATCCCCAGCTCGGTCAAACCCCCCTCCTGGGGGGCTCTGCGGGAGCAGCAAGCGTCGCCCAAGCCCCCCGTCACAGCTTTTTCTGTCCATATGTGACCACAGCCATTCCGCTCCTTCCCCACTGGTTGCGCCTGGAGAACAGGGTGTTGGTGGACGTGGCCAGAGGCAGCTCTGTGGGGCTCGGGTGGAGCAGGGGCCTGTGGTTTCCCTGTTTGTTCTGGAGATCCCAGCCGCTTCCCTGAGGAGACAGCTAGTGGTTCCCAGGCCACAGCCCCTCGGGTGGAGCCAGACCACGGCTGGCCAGCCTGGGAGCCCTGCCCGCCAGCCCCACTGGGCTCTGCCAGGCCCTGGCGCTGGGTGGTCTGGGCGGGGGCCAGGGGGGCTCGATCCGGGCTGTGGGACAGGAGCCGGGACTGAGGCCAGGCTCGAGGCTGCCCTGCCAGGGACCTGGAGGGGTCCTGAAGGCTGGGGATGGCTGGACGAGGGATAGAGGCAGGCGTGGGGTCAACACTGCCTTGTGGGGAGCCCAGGAGGGAAGGCCCCAGACCCTGGTTCCATCTGAGGGCCTCAAGAGAAACATTCTCCCCTCCAGGATTGTCTCTATTGGGTGGTTTCAACCCAACCATTGAGTTAGTTGAGACAGGAGCCTAACTCAGAAGCGGTGGAAAAGTCAGGGTGGCAGGCAGAAGACCTAGGTCCTGGCTCTGTGCTCCTCTGGACCTCAGTGTCTCCATCTGTACAATGGGAAGGGAACAGGAATCCATGCTTGTCAAGGGCTCATCTGCCCGGGTAGGTAGTCGCTGTGGGGTGGGTAGCCCAGGCTGGAAGTTTCTCAGTTGTTCCCAGATTCATTTCCAGAAGCTTCCGACAACACCTCCTCCCTGCCCAACACACACTTTGGACGAAACCCAGAGGTGAACACCTGCTGGAGTGGAAACAGCTCCTGAGGGTTTTGGAGTCTGACAGACCCCAGTTCAAATCCTGGCCACTGGCTGGCTGTGATCTTGAATGCTCCATATTCTCTCTGTGCCCTGCAGCTTTAAATGCCATCCCAGCCCCCCTTCTGTCTCCAGTGGAGTTCCTCCACTGAACCCCAGACTCTTCCTTCCCAACTACCTATGGGCACGTCCGCCCCCACGTCCAATGGACATCTCTAAGCTAACATGATCCAAACCACATCTGTATTTTCTCTCCAGATCTGTTCCCCATATCCATAAATGGCACTCCACCCAGGTGCTCAGGCCAAAAATTCAGGGGGCATCCCTGGTTCTGCTATTTCCTCTGCTCCCCACAGTGAGCCCATCAGCAAGCCCCGCTGGCTTCGACTCCCAAACATGCCTGGGATCCAGCTGCTTCCCGCCACCACTACACTGGGCTGGTCCAAGCCACCAGCACCTCTACCCCCAGCGACAAAAAGGCCTCCAGAGTGCCCTCCAGCATCGACTCTTGGCATCCCTGGGCCCTCCTCTGCACGCCTGCCAGAGCGATCTCTCCAAAGCATCAGTCAGACCACGTCTCCCTCGGTGTCTAACCCATTTTATTGCGTGACCTTCACCTTGATGTCTCATTCTCTCTGGGCCATGTTCCTCTCTGGCCTCCAGCCCTGAGCTTTGTCTGGGGGACAGTGGCAAGAGGCCTGTGTCCCAGGAGATCCCTCAGGCATGGCAGACAAAGGGCCCACCAAGAGCCAAAACTGGCCATGAGAGTGGATGTCAGGACAGTAGCGTCCTTGGAGCACAGCCTCTCTACTGCCATTGTTCCCCAACCAGGTATGACCTGAGTGGGCAGGAAGCTAATTCCAGGGCCCTCAGCCAGCATGTGCAAGCCCGGGCTGACCCTGGAGACCCTGGAGCCACCCACCGTGGCCTGGGCGGGAGGAGGCAGGGGCTCTGCGGGAGGCCTTTGGGCACGACGCGGACACAAACCGCATAGGACAGGACCTCTGCCAGGGACGTCCCACCCAGCCACCTTTGCATTACATTCCTGACCCCTCCTTGCTGCTCCTTACCCCACCGAAAGGAGCTATAAGGATGATTAAAGCCCACTCTGGAGCCACAGTGCTTGGCCTCACGCCCTCCTTCATCCCCTGTTGGTGGTGCGGCTTTGCATAAGTCACCAGTTTCTCTCTGCTTCTGTGTCTTCATCTGGAAACGGGGGACAGACACAGTCCCACCCTCTGGGAGTAGTGGAAAGGATAAGTGGGTTCAGGGCCTGTGAGGTACTGGGAACAGTGACTGGCACTCTGGGGGACACCATAGGAATGTTGGCAAGTGTGCCCACCACTCGGCTTCCAGCGATCCTCGGCCTGTGTTCCAATGGGTAGAAGGGACAGGTGGCCCTGGCTGGTGGTGGACCCCAACCCGGCCTGCCCCCGACTTGGCTGATGGGGCCCATGTCTACCCCATCCTGAGGCCGGCGCCCACAGCAGAGGAGTCAGAAGAGGGCCTGGAACCACGACGGGGCAGCAGCACCAGGAAGCCCCAGGAAGCCACCCAGACACTCCAGAAACTTGGGAGCCCAAATCCCCTTCTGAGAACTTAATCCCCCCAGCCCCCCCACCCCCACCCCCAGATCGGCTGGTGCTAGATCTTGCTGGGAGGTCTTGGGTTAGCCACCAGGGCTAATTATAAACTCCACTGGTGTAGGGCTCTTACTACCCCCATCTGACGGCTTCTGTGGCTGGTGGGGCCTGGGTTGTTTGCCTTGGAGAGATTAGCACCCAGATGCCAGGGAGGGGACATGGGCTGGGAGCCAGGCAGACCTAGGTACAACTTGCAGCTGTCCCTTTCAAGCCATGGGCCCTGAGCTGGTCACTGTGCTCTGACAGTCCTCTCCCTTCTCATCTGCAAAATGGGGATGATAGTGCCTGCCTCACAGGATGGTGGGGGCAGTATATCTGACAAGATGGCAACTTCATGGCCAAGTCCTGGGTGCTTAGATGGGTGTGTGGCATGTTCTGGGTATGATTCTCTCTCCTTCCCTCCATCTCAGAGCAAACAATTTGCTGATGACCTATTCATTCGTGTGCCGGTCTAGCTTCCTCCTTGACAAACTGGAGTGGGACTCTCAGGCCCATATTTGGGGTTTCCCATCCCCATCTCCCGAGCCCCAGTTGCTTCTGCCTGGTCTGCTCTAGCACTTTCCTTGGACAGCCAAGATGATCTTTCAAAAGTGAGGCTCACTCTCCAGCTCCCCAGGTGCTCGGTCCACCTGCAGCTCCTTGGAATGGCATCTGAGAACTTCCTGCCGATCTGTCCCCATGGGGTCCTCCAAAGTCCCCTCAGTACCCTCACGTCCTGCCTCAGGACCCCTTGGCCTGTCAAGCCTCAGCTGACTGGTTGCTTTCTCTGCCTCTGGGCCTGCCCCACTGTACCTGTACTGGTCAGTGCCCCCTCCCTGCCCCACAGCTTCCAGCTTCCTCGCACTGGGATGGCAATCTGTGTCTTGAGACAGGAGCTTTCCGAGGACGGAGAGCCTCGCCTACTCCCAGAGTAAAGCAGGGGCCATGAGCTCGGTCTCCACTGGGACCAGAGGGGTAGCACTGTCTTAAGGGGTTTAGTGTAAGAGTACCAAGAGTTCTGGGGACTGTGGCAAATGGGAGAGCCGAACCCTGGACGGGCAGCCATCTCTTGGCTCCAATCAGCCATTACCTTGCAGAAAGGTGGAGCAGTACCAGCCAGATCTTCCTTTTTTTTTTTCCAAAAAAAAGCCAGAGAGACTTCATGTCCCAGCCTCTTGTGCAGCTAGTTGGGGTCACATGACTAGTTCTCGCCAATGGATGAGAGTGGAAGCTATGTGTGTTACTTCCAGGAAGAAGTGGTTAAAAAGGGTCCCTACCCGCCTCGATCCCTCCATCGATGTGCTGCTCACAGGACTTCAGTAGTTCTGGTAAGAAAAAGCATCCAGGACTCGGAGGAGGGCAGAGCCACAAGATGGAAAGAGCCTGGGTCCCTGTCACCTAACTGGATGTACCATCACATGTTTGAGATAGAAATAAACTCTTCACTGTGTTACATTGCGGATTTATCTTTAACAGGATAAGGGTTATGTGGATGAATAGAGGTGGATTTGTCAGCCCCTCTCTGTTCTTTCTTCCTGAGAAAGCATCTGAGGGCCTTGCAAACCCGTGCTGAAGGAGGAGGACGCTCACTCTTAGCTTCCGATGGGCGCTGGTGGGCGGGGCTGGGACCACTGCCTCTGGCCCCTGACATGGATTAGTTATAGTAAAGGTGACAAGTGACCTGGAGGCCTTCTTGCTGTGGATTTCAGGGCCCAGAGGCATTCTTCTTGGATTTTCACAGCAACCCAGGACTGGGCTATGTCCCATTTTATTGTTAAGAAAACGGAGACAGGGTGCCTGGGTGGCTCAGTGGGTTAAGCCTCTGCCTTCAGCTCAGGTCATGATCTCAGGGTCCTGGGATCGAGTCCCGCATCGGGCTCTCTTCTAGGCAGGGAGCCTGCTTCCTCCTCCCTCTCTCTCTCTGCCTGCCTCTCTGCCTACTTGTGATCTCTCTCTGTCAAATAAATAAAATCTTAGAAAAAAAAAAAGAAAAGAAAAGAAAAGAAAAGAAAACGGAGACACAGAGATACAGAGCCATTTGCCCAAAGTCACACAGGTATGGAGTGGTGAAGCCCCAGGTCGGCAGACAGCCCCTTCCTCCCAGCCCAACGCCACCCGCACTCCTGGGCCCGGAGTCCAGTCCTCTCCCAAAGAAACAAGCTTGTTTCTCTCTCTTCCTCACTGACCACAAAGACTCAGTTCTGTCCTCAGAAATATTTGGAAAGTTTTATTTAAATGTTTTGTGTTCCCTTTTAACCAACACCAAAAAGAGAAAAAAGATTTTTTTTTTTTTTTTTTTTTTTTTTTCTTTCCAAACAGGAATGTCCCTTCAGAGAGGAGTGGGCATGTGTGTTAAGAGCTGAGAAATGTCTCCCGGCTGCTCTTCCCGGCCCAGGAAGCCCTGGGGTTGGATGGCCAGTCCCAGCTCACCTCCTGGGAGCCCCTGGCAGCCCCAGGATGAGTGAGCAAACCCCCATCCTGGGGAGAAGAACCGGGTCTCCCCGGCAGGGAGGGACATGAGCACAATGGGACCTGGTGGTTCCAAGAGGGGAGGGGAGTGGGAAGGTCAGATCCGGAATGTTCCATGGAAGCTCCAGGACCTCCAGGTCTGGAGAAGTGTGTTTGCTAGAAAAATAAGATGCTTTGAGAATTTCTGCAGTCAGCCTTCTCTGCCTGCCCAGAGAAACCTACTCTGTTGGCCCAAGGGGCAGCAGGGAGGGAGTAGAGGCCGGAGGCCGGGAACTGGTCTGGCTCCAGTGGAGGATTCCAGAGGGAATCGAGGCTGGGCAGCAGATTTTGGTTTCTTGGGTCCTCTTTCTGGCAGCTGTCGAGTCTGTGAAGGCCCCCCTACCTGGCCCTTGAGGAGCAGGCTCCCAGACGGTGGGCCATGCTGAGAGGGGGAGGCTGGCCATCTGTCATAGGCTGGTGGGTACCTGGGCCCTAGGCCCTCAGAATAGGATGCCCAAGGGGAGCAGGGCCAGCAGGAGGAGGAGGGGCCCTGGAGAAGGGCCACCTGCTGAGCTGGCCGAGGCACAGTGGTCCTGGTTGGCTCCGATGCAGGCCGCGTAAGCCATCACATGGGGAATGTAGTTCTGCTCGTGGACGCCATGCAGGAGGTGCGCCATGGGACCCTTGGCAAAGACCGCGACGTCCTCCCCACCATGGGTCTCATAGCGCAGGGGCACGGCGGACTGTGCCTGGTAGTTGCTGTGAGCTGTGGGCCAGAAGAAACACTTGCTGAGAGCCTGCTGGGGGGCTGGGCTCTGCTGTGGCTTCTCCCTGCCCTTCCAGGCTGGCTCGAATGCTCTCCTTCTATAGAGGAGGACACAGAGGCTTGGTGCAGGGACGTCACTTTGTGCAAGGGCTGCGGGATTTGGGGCCGAGTTTATTCTGACACAGAAGCCTCCCCTCGACCCCCAGAAGAGAAAAATCCACCTCCTCTGGGCTGTTTAGTGAACCCAGGAGAGCCTCTCACTGGGCTTGCCGAGAGAGGCACAGTGAGACCCCCGAGGAGCACTGGGGCCACCGTGAGCAAATGAATATTCAACCATACGGACTAGAGGGGCACACGGAGAAGGCTCAGCACCGGGGAATTACAGCCACAGTGGAAATGGCGGTGTAACAGCAAAAGGCGCAGGGAACCACGTTAAGCCCTTCAGAAAACCCTGGGAGGCAGAACTCTTTCATGGAATTAAGGGAAGCTGGGAAAGGCAAAACTGCACTACCAAGGTCACAGAGCTGCTCCACGGCGGATGGGGAGTTGACCTGAGATTGTTCTGATCCAAGTCCTGGCTATTTGGAGCCTCCCCTGACCTTGGCCACGAGCCTACAGTATACCCCGGCCCATCCCCACAGGGTGCCCTGCTCTGGATTTGGGCAATCTCACCGTAGTCCACCATGGAGACGTTCTCGCGCTCGCCACCTACCACCTTGTAGCCAGGCCCATTGCCGTATAGGATGGAGGTGAAGGGCTTCTTGTCCGTGTCACTCACCATGGGGGCCAGACCTGCGCAGGAAGGCATTGACCCAGGGATCTTGGAGCACCAAGACTACAGCTTGGCGATCCCTAGATCCCCTGTGAAGAACCTTGAACCACTCCATGAAGCCACTTTCCCAACCTGATTGATTTCCCACCAACTACCCCCACACCGTATTCACGGTGCCCACACTCCTCCCGATGGCAGTCCATGCATCCATCCTCTCTCATTCTTCTATCCACCCATCACCCAGGTAGCCATGCAGCCCCCCACCTGAGCACTCACTTTACTCTGTCCCCTCATCCTGTAACGGCACCCATCCCCCAACTCTACCTTCTCTTCCTTACTCCATTCTCGCAGAGTCCCACCTGTGCCAGACCCAGAGCTTGCTGCCTCTCCCTCCCTACTCCCACTCCCCGATGGGCAGACCGCGGGAGTGCCCAGTGCCCACCCCAAGCAAGGCCCACTTACCAAAGATAGAATTGCCACGGGGGGTGTACCCCCCAAAGGTGAAGACGTGGGAATGGTCTGCAGTGACGATGGTCAGCGTGTCTTCCACGGAGGTCATGGTGCCTGCCTTCCCGATTGCCCGGTCCATCTCCACTGCCTCGTGCAGTGCCAGCTTGGCCTTGCCCTCATGATGCCCGTGGTCAATCCTGCCCCCTTGAGACACCAAGGCAAAGGCCTAGGGTGAGGGGGGAGAGCTGCACCCCCAGGTCCTGTCACATGACCGCCAGAGGAACCATTCTTTGATGGGGAATGGCCACGTGCCAAGTACCATGTCGGACACATCATGCCGCCGTGCAACCTATACAGCGGCTCGGTGGGGACAGGTTGTGGACCAAGGGTCCATGCATGGAGAGAGCGAAGCCAGGATTTAGAGCAGATCCACGTGTCTGAAAAGCTGGTGCTCTGTCCAGCACCCCTCACTGCCCTCAGAACAGCTTCTCCAACTCCTTGAAGGAGTCAGAGACCTCTGACAGGTGGAAATGGAACAAGTGTGCCTAAGGGCCTACTGAGTGCCAGGCATAACAAGCTGGTATCTCGTTTCCCCTTCATAACAATCCTAGGCAGAAATGGGTACAAAATCAGCCCCATTTACAGATGGGGCAACTGAGGCCTTAGGTGCAGAAGTGATATGCCCAAGGTGGGATGACTGGAATTTGAACTTGGGTGTGACTCTCATTCTCCATACCTGGGCAGTGCCCACGGCAGGCCTTTCATAAAGGCCTCTAAAGTCTGTGCCACCTCTCTTCTAGGTGGGTGCAAGAGGCCTGGCTTTGTGCCTGGCTTCAAAGTCATGGCCAAGGGTTGCATGAACTGAGGCGACTCCTTCTTGTCTCTAAGAGGAGGACACTGCCCGAGTGGACACTCCCACTTCTGAGGGTCCTGAGCCCGGGCGTCCTCCCTTCCCATTGGCCTGAGCCTCACCACAGTGGCCTGGCAGGCTGGCAGGGTGGGTCCTTCCTTTGTTGTGGTTCTGGGAGCAGTCACAAAGAGGACTGCTCCCAGGGGAGCCCGTGTTCACCACCACTGGTTCCTGGCTGGGTCCTTGGCGTCAGAGGCCTGTTCAGGCCAGGCTGAGACCGCCATGCTTGAGTGGGAACCCCGGGGTTTGGCAAGAAAGCCACCAAGCCAGGCGGCCGGCCGCTGGCTTCTGGAAGGCAGAGGGGCCTGAGTGTGTATATGTGTGGTGAGTGTGTATGTGCAAATGTGTGTGTGTGTGTGTTGTGTGTGTGCACAGGGAGAGTTCAGTGAGGCAACATCTGGAACCATGGGAGACAATGGCTGTTAGAACTCTGAAGATTCTGGAAACTTTATCACTTCCTCACACTTCCTATTGTTATTGACTTGGCTATTGTGTAATCATAATAATGGTAATAATAGAAACACCGAAGATTTATTTTCTGCTGGGCTCCGTTCCAAATACTTTATGTCTCTGAACGCAATGGATGTTAATAATCTCTCTAAGACCATTTTGACCTCATTTTACAGAAATGTACAGGCAGAGGTCATACAGCACCAGCAAAGAACCAAAGCCTGACTCTAGGGCCTCCCTGCATGCTGGGAAACCCCATAAACATTGGCATACAACACTGCCAACTCCTAAAGGGACCGACTCTCCCAGTCTGGGGGATCTGGGACATCCCAGGGTCATGAATCTGACCTTGGCCTCACAAGGGCATAGTAACAGCAGATGCCTGCCATCCAGCTGAGAGCTCCCTCAGACTGATAGGTATCTGACGTGAAGGACCCTGGACCTGTCTTTTGGGAGGAGGGAAGCTCAGGGAGGGACCCCCAAAAGGAAGGCTTCCACCTCCTCTTCTGGGAAGCCTTCCTGGACTACTTGGCCTGACAGGTGCCTCGTGCCTAAAGCAGAACAGCTTGTTGGGCTGGGAGTTTCAACACCATGCATAACCCGTCTTCCCCAAAAGGAATTTAGCCTTCTCCCCAAAAGTGGATGGTTGTCTTTGAAGAGCTGGAGCACCCCATCCCCAGACCCGAAGGCCATATACCCAGAAGCTCCCAGGGAAGTGGCCCTGCAGCCTGGGGCCCTACCTTCGACCAGCAAGAAGAAGCCTTTGGGGTTCTTGTTCAGAATCTTGATGGCTATCTCCACCATCTCTGAGAGTGACGGGTCAGTCACATTGTTCCTGTTCAGCTCATACTGCAAGTCCCCCGGCTCAAAGAGACCTAAAGAAGATGTGGACGGTGAGGTTTTCCTGTGACCCTGCAAGAAGGACCCTCCCCCGCAAGGAGCCTGGGCTGTCCCAGGGAACACAGGTTCCCCACACACAACTTGGGGTT